CTTACCTAAACTCAAAACCCATGGCCCCTCCATCATGCTGATCCTTGTCTCCACCCATCTCAACATCTCCCACATCATCCGCGACGCCTTCTGGAATCAACTCTGGCGGCAAGTCATCATCATCCTCCTCATCCATCAGTTCCTCCTTCATCTGTGGACCCTCCTCCAGCACATACTCCTCAGCGTTCTCTCCATCCGCCACGTGGTACACCACATTCCTCCCATCCTCCTCTTGTACCGTTATATACGATGCGGTGGCTCCTTCTGATGACGTGGTACCCGCTGACGTCTTCTGCATCATGCGCGTCTCCTCGTCCTCCATCAAGTCCGCTCTTCCGATACGATCCTCGATGAAGGAACCTCCCTGAAGGGTCAGAACTCGTTGTTGGGCTTCTGAATCGTCTCCTCGCCCAACGATGACTTCACCGACGTCCTCTTCCTCCAGAATTTCAAACATCGTCGTCAGCTTCTCAGCTGCTATCGGATGGATTCCCCTGGTTGCCACGTGGCCAGCCGCATTCTTTGGAAAGTGCTCAGCTGGCAGATCCAGTCCCCCCTTCTTCTGAGCAGCGACGTCTTCTGAAGGTGACACCGTCACTTCTTCAACGGCTTCTGGAGCTGGAAGAACGCCTTCTTCAGTTTTTATTATCGTGTCTTCTTTCGGAACGTCTTCTGGCACTGCAGACGGCATTGGACCACCTCTCGGCGGGTGTAAAAGGGGCGGGGCTTCTTCGAGTAGAGCTCGTCGTTTGGCTCCGCCCCTTTCCCCGGTAGCTCCACGTTTTAGGACGCCAGGTGGCACGAGATCCTTGGGCAGTGGTCGACGATGCGGTGGAATTGGGTTGGCCGGCCGACCGCGGCTGTTCTGCTTGTTGACTAGATGAGGTGGCGCGGGCGGTGGACCATCTGGACCCTCCTCAACGTTGACGTCTCCTGGATTCTGTGGATCCTTGTCGTCCAACATCAACATCTCCTCATCGTCGTCGTCGTCCTGGAAGTCGTCGGTGTCGCCACGTGGCACTGGTGGCCGACCGCGGAGCCGTTTCTGGGCCATCGGGGTGACGAGCTGCATTTTTTGGTGTTGGATTCGTCTGCAAAAAAAGCGCGAAATTTGAATTTTTCGAAAAAACACCAAATTTTACGACAAAATGCACAATTTTCTGAAATTGTGCATTTTGTCGTAATTTCTGGTGTTTTGTCGGAAATTTCAAAATTTACTTTCAAAGTTTTCGAAATTTTGCACACAATTTGACGACAAAATGCACAAAAAATCGAATTTTCGAAAATTGCACAGAATTTGACGACAAAATGCACAAAAATTTAAATTTTTGAAATTTTGCATACAATTTGACGACAGAATGCACAAAAATTCAAATTTTTGAAATTTTGCACCCATTTTGACGACTAAATGCACAAAAATTCAAATTTTTGAAATTTTGCACCCATTTTGACGACAAAATGCACAAAAATTTAAATTTTTGAAATTTTGCACCCATTTTGACGACAAAATGCACAAAAATTTAAATTTTTGAAATTTTGCACACAATTTGACGACAAAATGCACAAAAATTCAAATTTTTGAAATTTTGCACCCATTTTGACGACAAAATGCACAAAAATTTAAATTTTTGAAATTTTGCATACAATTTGACGACAGAATGCACAAAAATTCAAATTTTTGAAATTTTGCACCCATTTTGACGACTAAATGCACAAAAATTCAAATTTTTGAAATTTTGCACCCATTTTGACGACAAAATGCACAAAAATTTAAATTTTTGAAATTTTGCACCCATTTTGACGACAAAATGCACAAAAATTTAAATTTTTGAAATTTTGCACACAATTTGACGACAAAATGCACAAAAATTCAAATTTTTGAAATTTTGCACCCATTTTGACGACAAAATGCACAAAAATTTAAATTTTTGAAATTTTGCACACAATTTGACGACAAAATGCACAAAAATTCGAAAATCTTGAATTCGAGTGTGGTTTGAGTGTGAGGCGCAAAATTTGAATTTTTCGGGAAAACACCAGAATTGACGACAAAATGCACAATTTCCGGAACTTTCAATTTTTTCGAAATTTTGTACAGAATTTGACGACAAAATGCACAGAATTTCGAAAATTCGTTTTTTTGGGTTCCACCGCGAAAATCGAATTTTTCTGAAAATTCGAATTTTCGAAGAAACACCAGAATTGACGACAAAATGCACTATTCTTCGATTTTTCAATTTTTTGCACAGAATTCGACGACAAAATGCACAAAAATCCGATTTTTAGGCTTAAAATGATAACACAAACTTGATTTTCTCCATTTGCGCTGGATCTACAGTATCCTGGTCCTCCTCCTCTACAGTATCCTCTACAGTATCCTCAGCAGCCACCACAACCTCTTCATCAACAACGTCGTCAGGAAAATAGACTTCTGAATCGTCGACGTCTTCTACTCTGCCTTCTTCTTCGCCTTCTTGTCGAAATTCTTCAGAATCCATGACGACGTCTTCTGCTCCAGAAGAAGAAGACGTTGGCATTCGTGGAAGGCCGGCGAGCGGATATTTACGCGGTCGACCGCGGCCGCGATGACGATGGTCGAGATAGGAGCGGGGTGGTGTTGTGCCGCCTGACAGAAACACCGAATTTGACGACAAAATGCACAATTTTTTGAATTTTTGAAAATTTTGCACAGAATTTGACGACAAAGTGCACAAAAATCCGATGTTTCGGCTTCCATTCGTTTTTGTTTTGTGCATTTTGTCGTCGAATTCGGTGCAAAATTTCCAATTCTTCGGAAAATTAAACAAATTGTGCATTTTGTCGTAAGTGGTGGTGTTTTTGCGAAAAATTAAATTTTTCCTTTCAAAAATTAAGACAAAATTGACAGTTTACTTTGCACCGAATTTGACGACAAAATGCACAGAAATTCGAAAATTCGGTTTTATGAAAATTCGAACTTTCGAGGGAACACCAGAATTTACGAAAAATACACACAATCTGCAGAATTCTCAAATTTTTGTAAATTTTGCACATAATTTTTTTTTCAATTCAAAATTTTTTTTTCGATTTTTGTGCATTTTGTCGTCAAATTCTGTGCAAAATTTCGAAAATTTCGTAATTTTGCCATCTTCGCTTCGAGACCCGAAAATTTCGAATTTTTGTGAAATTTTCGCTGCGAGACCCAATTTTCAATTTTTCGCTTTTTCCCCCCAATTTCTACCTTTCGCAGCGCCTTCTTCTCCTCGTCCGGACATTTTCCGTTTTTTCTCCGAAATTCACGTGGCGCTTTTTTGAATCTTCTTGGCGCGAACCTGAAAAATATCATTTAATTGCTTTTTAATTGCAATTAATCGCAATTAGCGCGCGAAAAAATTAAAAAACGGTAAAGCGAAACGAAATCGTGGTGAGACCACCACCGAAAACTGAATCGATCGTGGCGAGACCGGCGAGGGGTGAGAGAGAAGAGACGCAGACGCATCTGTTGAGGTCAGCGCGCCCTATCGCACCGTTTCTCTGGCGTCTCTTCAAGTGCAACGCTCTCTCGTCGCCATCGCCGATTTCTTTTTTTCGGGTTTTCCGCAAACAAAAACAGATGGATATATACAATTCCAGGGTGTTTTATGGGGTTTTATCGATGAAAATTCATAAAAATCAGGGTATTTTTCAGGGAAAATGCTGAAAATTCCAGAAAAATCGGTTAAAAATTCCTGAAAATCGAAAAAAAAATGTTTTTAGGTAAAAAAGTGTTTTTTTAAAGATTTTTCTGGCTCAAATCGCTTAAAATTGATGCGAAAAATCCTAAATTTCGCTAAATTTCAAGAAAAATCTGAAAATTCAGAAAATTTGAAAAAAATCTGAAATTTGGCTGAAAATACGAGATTTTTCTCGAATTTTCGCTATAAAATCCCGGAAAATGACTGAAATTGATGCGAAAAGTCGAAAAAAGCACTGAATTTCACAAAAATTAAAGAAAAACCAAAAAATCTAAAAATTTTGCTGAAAATTCGAGACTTTTCTTGAATTCTTGCTATAAAACTTGAAAATATGGCTGAAAATTGCAGCGAAAAATCCCAAAAATTTTACAAAAAAATCTGAAAAAAAAATATTTTTAAAAAATCTCGATAAATATTAAAAATCTTCATATGGATTAAAAAAAATAGATAGAGAAAGAAAAAAGACCAGTAATCAGAAATATTGGGTTCAAAAAATCAGATTCTTCAGCCAAAAACTTAGATTTTCTAGCTTAAAATCGCATTTTTTGGCATCAGAAATCGATATTTTGGACTCAAAAATTTGAATCTCCGCCAATTTCAAAATTCAAAAGGCTCAAAAGCGTTAAAAAATCCAATCAAATAAGTCCATCCAGCTCCTTCATAAAATCGTTATACGCCTCGTCCGTATTCTTCGCCTGCTTCTGCGCTTCCGGTCGCTTCTTCGTGACAATCGGCACCTGGTGCTGAACTACAGTACTACTCCGATTGTCTCCGGGCCGTCTGAGCAATTGAGCTGGCACCAGCTTCACAGTCTCCCGCCTCAAATTACGAAGCTCCGGGGCTGCGGAGAGCGTCGCTGGCGCGCCATCCTTGCGATTATTGATTTGAGGGGCGGAGCTGATAATTGCGGATTCTTGATGGTGTGGATGATGGGAATGTTGTTGGAAGCCCATTGGATTGTAATGAGAATGAGGATGATAATTGGGCATACGTTGCGGTGGTGGCATGTGTTGATTGTGATAGGATGATGGTGGTCCGCCGTCTGGAAATAGGGGTAATTAGGACGGTGGTCGGGAGGTAATTAGGTCCTAATTAGTGATAATTAGGCTCAAAATGTCGAAAAATCACTTTAAAATCGCTGTGAAATGGTGAAATTCCCATTTCTTGTGGGGTCAAAATGCTAGAAAAACGCTAAAAATGTTGATTTTCCTGGTGAAAATGGCTGTAATCGTGGCTTTACTGGCGTTTTTTAGGATTTTGAGTGTGAAATTCGATAATTTGGGAGTAATTAGTGGTAAATAGGCTCAAAATGTCGAAAAATCACTCGACAATCGCTGAAAAATGCCAAAAATCGCAAAGTTTCCAGCGTTTGTTGGGATTTTAAGGCGAAAATTAGGTTTTTTGAGCTGAAAATCGCAATTTTAAGCCCAAATTCGGTACGTTTGAGGCTCAAAATGCCAAAAAATCACTGGAAATGGCGAAAATCCCAATTTTTCAGAGTTAAAAAGCCAAAAATCGCAGATTTTCTCGAGTTTTTTTTTTGGGATTTCGAGTGGAAAATTCGATTTTTGGAGCTCCAAAAAATGCGATTTTCAGTCTAAAAATTATGAAAAATCCGAATTTTCTTCTTAAAAATCATAAATTATAAATTAAAAACTCACAATTTCGGTGCATCGGCGGCGCGTACGGTGTGTCGAATTCAGGAACTGAAAATTGGCATTTTTAGGCTTAAATTTTTCACATTTAAAGCCAAAAATAGCTCGAAATGGCCGAAAATTTCATATTTCCAAGCCAAAAAAGGGGTTTTATGGCACATTTTTTAGCTCAAAAATGATGGATTTCGGACGTAAACTTGGCTAATTTTTGTGCCAAAAAAGCTCAAAATGACTGTGTTTTTGGGCTCAAGAACGACTCCAAAAAAGTCAGTTTTGAGCTTCAAACTCACTCGGAACCGGCGCCAAATCGCCATCATCATACTGATCCTCTCCATCGTCGTTATCATCTTCGCTATCACTGAAAGTGGGCGCCAGCCCACACGGTGGTCCCGGTGGCTTCTGACTGGCACGTGCCGCACGAGGTGGAAGTTGGAATTCGACTTTTCGTCTGGAAAAATGGTCATTTTGGCTGGAAATTACCAAAAATTGGGGGAGAATCATCGTCTTTTTAAGCTGAGCAATAGGAGAAAATCGGGAAAAAACGGATTTATAAAAAGATTTCAGCTGAAAAATCAAAGATTTATAAAAAGATTTCAGCTGAAAAATCGCGGTTTTTAGCGATTTTTAAGAAAATTTTCGGCTCAAAATTTTCAATTTTCGGTGATTTGGCTAAAAATCGAATTTTTAGTGATTTTTTGATATTTCTAGGTTAGGAAAAAAGCTGAAAATTGCCTAATTTTAGGAATTTGTCAGTTATTTCAAGCGATTTTCAGCGATTTTTCGGCAATTTTCAGCTCGAAATTGGAATTTTTGGCGATTTTCAGGTAATTTTTCAGCACAAAATTTTCAATTTTCGGTGATTTTTCAGCTAATTCTCACAACTTTGACCTACTTGACAGGAGGCGGAGCCATATATGGGGCGTGTCCCGGTCCGGCGGGCATCATCGACGCTTCTCCCATCGGCAATGGAATCATATCGGGGTCCGCTTCGCGCGCCAACCGTTCTTGGTCTGAAAATTTGGGGATTTTTAGGTGAAAATTGACTGAAAATCAAATTTTTCGGCTAGAAACAATGAATTTTCAGCCTGAAAAACAGATTTTAGCGCAAATTTCTTCTACTCACGAGCCAAAATCGCCAATTTCGCGCAGTCATTCTGATAGGCGGTCATTTTATCGTTGAACTTCTTCAATTCGCCCTCCTCCTTGCCCTGCTGCAGTGTCAGCCTCCGCTTATTGATAGAATCCTGTAGGACTTTTTGTTTTTTTCGCAACACGTCAATATGAAACGGCTGCGGGTCGAGGCCCAAAATCTGCCGTTCCAGAGCCAACAGCTTCGATGTGGTCTCGTCTAGATTGCAAAATTTGGCCATCGCCTGCCGTATCTGCTGCCGATCCTTCTTGTTCCGCTTGTTCTCCTTTTTTCGTTCCTGTTTTCGAGCCTGATCGGTGGGCGCTCGATAGCGCTCGCCGCTTTTTGTCTTGCTGATTGATGGCATTTTTTTCCTGGAATTTTTCATATTTTTGGAAAAAATTTGATTTTTTTCAAGTTGGGAGGGTGAAAATAAGCGGAAACAGTCAAAAATCGAAGAACAATAAAAAATTGCTGAAAATTCTGAAAAAAAAACTATTTTTAAAATTTGTTTTCAATTTTCAAATTTTCCCCCTGAAGACTTAATTTTTTTTATTCAAAACCCTTATTTTCAGATTCTCCATCTTTCAAATTACCTTTCAATTCAAATTTTTAATTAAAAATCTCAATTTTCATTCGGAAAAACAACGAAAATTTGATTAAAATTCGAAAAAAAGTGGTTTCTGTGTCGTCAGGTGCGTTGCGGCTGGAACCGCAGCGCGTTCGATGGAGCGTGTTTGCTTGGTTGTCAAGGGAGCATCGGAGCACAACGGGATTCGGGTTGTTCTGAAGGGATTCTTGAGCTGAAAAGGGGAAAACAGGGGGAATCGGAGGCGAGGAATCTGAAAATAAATCTGAAAATTTTGGAAAAAATCTGGAAAGTCGAGAAATTGGCCTCTAAAATTTATGTGCAATTTTCTTTCCTTTTTCAACTTCTCATGTGTGTCCATCCATTGTTGAAGAGGATGGATGGGGACCCCGCTACCCCTCTAGGCATACACAAGAGAGCCCGCAGCTCGAGATGTGTGCAGCCAGGGGCAACAAAACAGAGAAAGAGAGGAGACCTCAGTAAGCTGCGTCTCTCCCACCCCCACACTCTCTCGCCGTCGTAGCAGCACACACCGACAACCAACGCTTCCCCGGCAACCAAGGGAGAGAAGCAGGAGAGAGTTTGTGAAACAAAGAGATTTAGAGAAATATGGGAGAGAAGACACACCCCGTTGGTTGCCGCACATATTTTATCGACGAAGGAGACGACGGGACGACGACAACTTAGTTCCCTCTCGCTTCTCTGGCACTCTCTCACTCTCTCGCCTCTCTCGTCTCCCTTGGACACCACTTTCTGCCTGCCCCAGGCCATGGCCACTACACTTTTCCCAGTGTCTCTTCGCGTTTTATAATATTTTCTCGTTTCCATAGCAACCTCTTTTGAGCCACACCGGAAGTCAATATGCAACTATTTTTCTCTAAATCTCTCTTTCCTTTTTCAGCCAGGTGAGCTGCAGAAGAAGCCAGACGGAAAAGGCAACACCATGACGGAAGAGAAGAAAATGTGAGTATGCAAAAACGATGCAAAAAGAATAAAATGGGTTTTGAAGTAAGGAGGAATTGAACCTGCGAATAGAACCTCTTGAATGACAGGCTGGAGCACTACCACTGTGCCAAAGGTGCACTCTTCACTTTAGGCTTGCAAGGTGTACACGAAGGGCGGCGCGGGCGCCCTTCCCCAAAGGCTTGGAGCCCGCACCCTCTTCTACACCTTTCACCTTGGTATCTCAGTGTGCGCTCTTGGTGTAGTGGTAGTGAGCTAGCCTTGCGTTTTGAAGGCCGCGAGTTCAATTCCACCTGATGTAATTTTTATTTTTTCGCCTTTTATGGCCACCTACAATATCTGTCTTATCAATCCCATCACTTTTTTACTGGTTTCTCTCTCTTTTTTTTCGCTTTCGCGAGATGAAACAAAAAAAGGGAGATGACCTTCAAATGAATTTTCCCTTCGTGGGCGATAAGGAACATCACTTGATTTGGGCAAAAAAAAAGAAACGAAAAAAAGTGTGATATTGAGAAGAGACAGAAAAAACCTTTTAAGAGATTCGTGGGGTAGGCAAAGGCAGAAAAAATAAAGGAAGTTGATGACAACACAACGAATCAAAAAACTTTATTTCGTTTAAACAAGCAAAAAAAATGAAGAGATATAAGGCTAAGCTACCTGAAAATTAACTTAGATTCCTGAAAATAGGGTTTAACAAAAAGCAAAAAGAGATTTGCCAAAGTGGGGAGTCGAACTCGCGGCCTTGTGGGTGGTGGGCAAAAGCGCAACCACTACGCCACGCTGGCACATTGAGTTAAGAGTGGTAGAGGGCGTATAAAAGAGAGGGGGTGGAGGGCGCCGGGTGGGCGCCAGAATTGGCAAAATGGGGGAAATTTTTTCTAGAGAGGGTGACCTAGAAATTCAATTTTAGAGGTTTCTAGGCCACCTAGACTCAAAAATGTTGGAATTTTCAATAAAAATCCTTCCAGAGCACCCACTCAATCATCAAAAAAGCGAAAAGGACTGGATATCGATGCGTTGTGGAGGAAAAAACTGAAAGATGTGGAGAATCATCAGTCTCCAGATGACCAGAAGACGTTAGAGTCAGAAGGAACGTCTTCTAAAGGTTTTACACCTTCTAAAAAGGATCCAGAAGATGTCAAAAAAGAGTTGGGATCACCGTCAGAGTTGGAGAAGGAGAAGGATGAGAAAGTGTGAGTTTCCTAGTCTGTCTGTGTGTCTGTTTGTCCGTTCTTCTTCTTCTTCCTCTTCTTCTTGTCTTCAGAGAATTGGCTGGTTGGCAAGGGACATAAATTAGGAGGAGGAAGAAGAAGAAGAAGAGGTCCCTCTTCTCTTCTTTTCACAATTTTTGGCTCCGCGAGCTCTTCTACCCCCAAACAAGGGAAAATAGGAGAAGAAGAAGAGAATTATGAATAGAGGAGAAGAGGAAGAGCAGAAGGTGTCAGGAGAAGAGGAAGGACTTCTTCTTCTTCTTCGTGAAAAGAGAGAAATGGATAATCCTGGCGACGTCTCCGTGAAAATTGGAAGCGGAGGGAAAGAGCTTCTTCTTCTCTTGGTGTAGAGGGTCCATCATCTGAAAATATGGAAAATTGAAATTTGAAATAATTGGAAATTTGGTTGGAACAAAAAAGATAATTTGAAAAAAAGCAAAACGGATTATTTGAGAAAATCAGAAATTCAAATCTACGCAGAACACAAAAAGAAACAAGGTTCCAACTCTTCTAGGAGCCGAGATATAGCCATTTGAAGTTCAGGAGGCTAGAGACGCCAGACGACGAGACACGCTGAGTCTCTAGCCTTTGAATTTACTGTCAAAATGTTTGTCATGACATTCTACACAATTCTATTCAAGTTTCAAATCTCTAGCTTTTCTAGGAGCCGAGATACGCCCCTTTGAAATTCTGAGAGGCTAGAGACGCCAGACGACGAGACACACTGCATCTCTAGCCTCCAGAACTTCAAACCGCTGTATGTCAGCTTCTAGATGGCCTAGAAGGATACAAATTAGACAAAATTTAAGAAAATTTTCTAAATTTTGAAACTGTCAAAAAATTTCAAAATTTTCGAATTTTTCGATTTTTTCATTTTTTCGAAATGTTTCGAAAATCTACATGACCAGAAAGCTTGTTTTAAATTAACTATTTCACAAGAAAATCCAACTCACTAGCTTTTCTAGGAGCAGAAGGCTAGAGACGCAGCGTGTCTCGTCGTCTGGCGTCTCTAGTCTCCCAAACTTCAAATCGCTGTATCTCAGCTTCTAATAGAGTTAGAGTATTAGGATTTGAACAGAAATAAAATAAAATTTCAAATTTTAAATTTTAAAATTTAAATTAATTTTAAAAATTTCCTGGTTTTAGAATTTTCGAAATTTCAAAATTTTCGATTTTTTTCATTTTATCGAAAAATTTTGTAAACCTTTATGACCGGAAAGTTTGTTTTAAATTAGCTATTTCACAAGAAAAACCAAGTTTACAAGTTTAGGGGGTTAGAGACGCAGTGTGTCTCGTCGTCTGGCGTCTCTAGCCTCCCGAAACTTCAAACCGCTGTATCTCGGCTCCTAGAAGCGCTAGAAAGTTGGTTTTTTGACAGATTTGCAGGAAATTTTACGCTCTAAATAATCATGTAAAACATTTCAGAATAAAAATTTTTTGGAATTTTTTATCATCGAAAATTACACTGTATAATGTTTCACCTTATTTTTCTTGATTTCCTGGAGGTTTCTAGGCCACAAGAAAATTCATGGACCTAGAAAATTAGCAAATTCCAATTTCCTATGGTGAGAGGAAAACACGGAGGATATTAGTTTTGGGAGGTGACAGAGCTAGTGAATGATGAGGAAAAGAGGAAATATGGGGAGGAGATGATAAGAGGGAAAAGAAAAATAGATTTTCCATTCTTTTGGTTTCCATGGAAACCAAGAGAACAAAGTCAGAAGCCGTGGAGGAGGAGATTTGACTTGGTGATATTTGGGAAAAAAGGAAATTTTTTCTAGAATTTTTATGATTTTTCTCTCCTTTTTTTGAAGATTTTTTAAATTCAAATTTTGAAGAAAAGGGTTTCCGAAAGTATCTGAAAATCGAATTTCGTCAAATTATAGGTTTTTGTGACATTTTCAAGTTAAGTTTATTGAAATGTTTTGAAAACCAAATGACTTTTGGAATTTTTGGATTTTTTGGAAAATTTTTCAATTTTTCTGATTTTCGAGAAATCCAGGAAACTAGGATAATTTTGAAAAATTCAGAGTTTTTTGATTTTTTTTCAAAATTCTTAATGTTTGCAATTTCCAGAATTCTTTGTCTGAAATTGTGGGTTTCCTGGAATTTTTGAAATTTTGAAAAAAAATTGGCAATTTCTAGAACTTCTGGAAATTTTGAATATACTTGTTTTAGATTTTTCAAAGTTTCAATTCTCTGAATTTTAGAATTTCGGAATTTCTGAATTTTAGAATTTTGGAATTTCTGAATTTTCGAATTTCTGAATTTTAGAATTTTAGAATTTTCGAATTTCTGAACTTTAGAATTTTGGAATTTCTGAATTTCCGAATTTTAGAATTTTCGAATTTCTGAATTTCCGAATTTCTGAATTTCCGAATTTCTGAATTTCCGAATTTCTGAATTTCTGAATTTTATAATTTCTGAATTTCTGAATTTCTGAATTTCTGAATTTCTGAATTTTAGAATTTCTGAATATTTGAATTTCTGAATTTCTGAATTTCTGAATTTTAGAATTTCTGAATTTTAGAATTTCTGAACTTCTGAATTCCTAACTTGTTGAATTTCTGAATTTCTCAATTTCTGAGTTTTTGAATTTCTGAATTTCTGAATTTTTTAACTTCCGAATTTCGGAATTTCTGAATTTCTGAATTTCCGAATTTCGGAATTTCTGAATTTTCGAATTTCTGAAATTCTGAATTTCTGATTTTCTAAATTTCTGAATTTCTGAATTTCTGGAATTACTGAAATTTCTAAATTTCTGTGAATGTTGAGTTTTCAAATCATAGAGTTTCTAAATTTTTCTAAAATTTGAAATTATCGGTTTTTTGCATTTTCTTGGAATTCCTAAAAGTTTACACATTCTACAATTCTCGAATTTCAGAACTTCCTGTTTTTAGATTTCTAAAGATTCTGAATTTCTTGGAATCTTCACTTTGCGCTCAATTATCTCGATTCCTGTGAACGATATCAAAAATCTGTCAACTGATAAAATGTTCATCATAATATCACCAACATTTTATCAGTTGACGAAATTTTGATATCTATTACAGAAACCGAGATAATTGACCTCAAAGTTTTAGAAATCAAAATCCCCTAGATTTACAAAAATAGAACTGAAAAAAAAAATTAAAATTTTAGAGTTTCCGAATTTCTTGCACTTCTCGCAACTCTCCAGATTGCTCAACACTAACTGTTCAAAACTCTTTTTTCAGCACAACGCCATCACCACCACCCAAAGAAGACACTCCGCCGGTCTCCAGAAGTACCAGATCTTCTAGAAAAAAGACTGAAGCGGAAAAGAAGAAAATGGAGTTGGATGATGTGAAACCGAATCTCAAATTGCTCAAAAAAGGACTTCCATTCACTTGTCACAATTTGGATGATCAGAGTGAAGGTAAGAGAAATTGTTCCTGTTCTTCTTCTTTTTTGAAATTTTGGGATTTGGGGAAAAAAGAAAAAGAAGAAGGAAAACAAACAAAATGAGAAAATTCTGATTCAGAAAGTATGAAAATGAAATTGAAATAACAAGAAAAAGAGAAAAAAGGATAATCATGACTTATTGGCATGAAGAGACATAAGTGGGCGGAGCCGAAAAAGAGAAAATGAAATTTGAAACTGGTCTAGTCTTGCTCTCCATGAAATTTGCTTTCTTTTGATTCCCATATTGCCAGGATTCCAAAAAATTTTAGTTTTGAAGATTCTGGAGAAGAGCGACGTCTTCAGAATTTCAGAAGTCAAGAAATTCCGGCAATATGGGTATCAAAATGTTGGAAATCAAATGGATTTTCTTGTTTTGAAGTTCAAAAATGGTGAAAATGCTATAGAAGAGCAGAAATCTCTTCTCCGTTTTTGACCTATCCAGAATCCAGAAATCCAACATTCTTAGAATCTTATCAATATAGGAATAAAAATGTTGGAAATTCAATGGACATTCTTGTCTTAAAACTTAAAAATGCTGAAAATCATCTGGGAGCATGAAAATCTCTTCTTCGTTTTTGACTTATCCAGAATTCGAAAAATTTACTTTTCTGAATACATGGCAATGGGTATCAAAATGTTGGAAATTCAATGGACTTCCTTTTTTTTAAGGTTACGCAGATTAGAAATGCTCCAGAAGCACAGAAATCCTTTCTCCGTTTTCGAATCGTCCAGAATTCCAAAAATTCCTTTTTTTTTGAATACATGGCAACATGGGTATCAAAATGTTGGAAATCAAATGAATTTTCTTGTTTTGTAGTTTAAAAATGGTGAAAATCATCTGAAAGCGAGAAAATCTCTTCTCCTTTTTCGACCCATCCAGAATTCCAGAAACCAAACTTTTTCTGAATGCATGGCAATATGGGTATCGAAGTGTTGGAAATTAGATGGATTTTCTTTTTTTGAAGTTTTAAAAAAGTGAAATTGCTCCAGAAGCACAGAAATCCCTTCTTCGACTCATCAAGAATTTCAGAAATCAAACTTTTTGGAATCATAGCAATATGGGTATCAAAATGTTGCAAATTCAATGGACTTTCTTGTTTTCAAGTTTTCAAAGCTCAAAAATACTTCAGAAGCAAGAAAATCTCTTCTCCGGATTCAAAAAAAAGTGAAAAAATTTTTCAAGATTTTTCGAAAAAATTGTCCCCAATAAGAAATTAGCAAGATTCGGTCTCATTTTAACATTTTGATCTACTAAATGTATCATCCTAAACATCCATCCACCACCTGTCAACATGGAGAAGAAGAAGAAGAAGAATCAGAAAAAGGAGAAAAAGAAGGAGGAAAATAAGGAGAAATGGGTCCAGATCTATGACTAATTGGAAAATTTTGAGGAGGGGTTTTCGGGAAATTTTGGCTCTCTCTCTCTCGAGAGAGAGGTACAAATTATTGGGTGAAGCAGAAAAAAGAAGAAGAAGAATAGAGATAATGAAAGGTGTCGGTTAAGGGAGAAAGGGAGAGAGTAGAAGATAGTCAGAGAAATCAGAGAAAACAATTAGAGATAAGGGAAAGTCTGGAGAACCAGAATCCCTTCTTCTTCTTCTTCTGATATTCTGAAGGCAGGCAACGAGCCCCCGAAAGCCCTACCAGTCAGTTGTCTTCTTCTTCTTTCTATATTCTTATTATATTCTAACTAGTACTATCCACTATGTCCAATGGGGTACCTATGGATGATCCGACCCTTCCGAATGTTCTCGAAGGGTCCACAGAGGAAGAAGACGCTGTGAAAGAGCAAGTAGAGTACTACACAGTACTCCGGAAAATGTTCAAAGAAACTACGGGGAATAGTTTCAAGGAGGAGGAGGAAGAAGAAGAATTTATTGATTGCGAGAATTCGGATTCGGGTAAGATAAGGAGGGTTCATGGCTATAACTTGAATCTCCAAGCAATTTCTGACTTTTTGATATACATAATGCCAAGATTCGAATAGATTCAAAAGTTTCAGATTCAGAATACATTCTCCAGAATCTCAGAATTTTTAATTTTTCAAAAGATGGCTATTATGGATATCAAAACTTTGGGAATTGAGTGGAGATTCTTCTTTTGAAGCTAAAATTCTTCAAAAACGTTCTAGAAGCTAAATATCTTCTTCTCCAGTTTTGGAATCGTATAATTCTAAACTTTCTGAAAGATGGTCATTATGAGTATCAAAATGTTGGGAGTCACGTGGTGATTCTTGTTTTGAGTTAAAAATTCTAAAAAAATGCTCCAGAAACGGAATATCTTCTTCTCCAGTTTTGACCTATTCAGAATCTTAGAATTCTCAATTTCCTAAAAGGTGGTCATTATGGGTGTCAATGTGTTACGAGTCACATAGAGATTCTTGTTTTGACAATTAAAACTTGAAAAAGTGCTCCAGAAGCTGAATAACTTCTTCTCCAGTTTTGACCTATTCAGAATCTTAGAATTCTCAATTTTCTAAAAGATGGTCATTATGGATATCAAAATAACAGAAATCTCGTGTAGATTCTTGTTTTTATCATTTTCACTTCTCAAAATGTTTTTGAAATTCAGATGACGTGATTCAGAATCAAAACAATTTTAGTGTTAGAGGTCCGGGAAATAAAAGTTTCGTTTTCTGAGAAGTTTACAAAAGGAACTAGTCTAGACATCTAGATTACTTAGGTGATTTATAAGTAGGAAAAAGTTTTGAGCATCAACGTCTTCTAAATTCCCTCCAGAATCTTCGGAATTCAGAGTTAAAGGAAAATAGAGCAATATGGGTATCAAAATGTTGGAATTGAAGGATTTTCTTGTTTTGGAGTTTAAAATGATTGAAAATGCACTAGAAGCACAGAAGTCCCTTTTCCTTCTTCTTCTCCTTCTTCACACCAATCCAACCAAGAATTGACCGACTGGGGGGGGGGGGGGGTGGATTAGGAATAATAAGAAAATAGAAATGAAATGGACCAAAATAAGAATGGTTTCTGGATTAGTACCTGCACCTGCTCCCGTCCTCTGGATTGAATAGGTGGAAGAAGGAAAAGAAGAAGAAGAGGGAGAAGAAGATATTCAGAAGCGACGGTGATGATGATTGCACTGGAGAAGGGGAAGGTGAACGCTAATGGGTTTCCTTTTATGGGTGAAAGGCACCTGCCACTGGATTAGGTTGGTAGGAGGAAGAAGAAGAAGGATAGGTCAATTCTAAGCTTGAAAATAAGAAGATAAAGAAGAAAAACGTTTTTCAGAACCAGAATCAAAAAGGTTTTCACATCCGAAAACAGAGAACAGTGCAATTTTCAAAAAAAAAAAATTCCACATCTTCTCAATTTCCAGAATCTTGCTATTCAAAATTTTGGAAAAGATGGGTATTATGGATTTCAAAACTTTGGAAATACAGTGGAGATTCTTGTTTTGAAAACTAGAACATCCAAAAGTGCTCCAAAAGCTGAATATCTTCTTCTCCGATTTTGACTACTGTAGAATCTTAGAATTCGGAATTTCGTAAAAGATGAGCATTATGGATATCGAGACTTTGGAAATACAGTGGAGATTCTTGTTTTGAAAATTAGAACTTCTAAAAGTGCATCAGAACAAAAATATCTTCTTCTCCGATTTTGACTACTGTAGAACCTTAGAAAATTCAGAATTTCGTGAAAGATGGGTATTATGGATATCAAAACTTTGGAAATTTGATGGAGATTCTTGTTTTAAAAATCAAAACCTCGAAAAGTGCTTCAGAAGCTGGATTTCTTCTTTTCCGGTTTTGACTACTGTAGAATGTTAGAATTACGAATTTCGGAAAAGATGAGCAATATGGATATCAAAATTTCGGAAATTTAGTGGATATCCTTGTTTTAAAGTTTAAAAGTTTAAAAGTGTTCCAGAAGAAAAAAAAATTTTCTTCTCCGATTTTGACTACTGTAGAATCTTAGACTTCCAAATTTTAAAAACAATGAGCATTATGGATGTCAAAACTTTGGAAATTTGATGGAGATTCTTGTTTTAAAAATCAAAACCTTGAAAATTGCTTCAGAAGCTGGATATCTTCTTTGCCGATTTTGATTTTTGAAAATTTTCGAAATTTCAAAGGTCCCAAAAAAGTCTCCTGCTTCTTGACTCACGTTTTTTCTCCTCGAATCGCATCAAATTAGTAAAATTAGGAGGCGTGTGAATTGTATGGGTGGATAGGTACTGACAGGTTCCACCTGGCCGTTAGGGGTGTCCACCCACCGGAAGCTCCGCCCACAATTCCCTAACGAGCGCACGCGTGCGAGCGCTACCGGAGAGGAAATTGGATGGAGAAGGGAGGACCTTAAATCACCCATAAGCTTCTCAGAGAAAGCCTAATTGGAGTGTGTGTGTGTGTGTGTGCGTGACCTATACACACCACTGGTCCCTCTACTACTACCTTATATTCGAATTCATAATATAATCTGCTTCTAGTCGGACGTCTACTTATTCTAACGTCTTCTAGAATTCCCAAAACAAATGACAGTTTTGAATTCTGAAGAGAATTGTCGTCTGTTTCAAGAGTATACTTTGAATCAGATCATGCGACACAATATTGTGTATAGCGATGAGGAAGAGGAGGAGGATGATGAGTCGGGTAAGGATGAGAGTCTCAGAATCTCAAATTTTTAAAAGATGGTCAATAGGGGTATCAAAATGTTGGGAATAAAGTGGACTTTATTGTTTTAGCAATAGTAACTTTGGAAAATGCTCTAGAAGCTAAATATATCATTCTCTGATTTGGACCCACATTTCTGAACTTTTTGAAAGATGGTCATTAGAGGTATCAAAACTTTTGAAATGAGGTGGACTTTCTTCTTTTAAAGATTAAAATTTGGAAAAATTCTCTAGAAACGAGAAATTTTCTTCCCCGATTTTGACTACTGTAGAACCTTAGAATTCCGATTTTCGTAAAAGATGAGCGTTATGGATATTAAAATGTTGAAAGTATAGTGGACTTTCCTGTTTTAAAGATGAAATTTTGGAAAAATGCTCCAGAGGCGAAATATCTTCTTCTCCGATTTTAACCCAAAATTCTAAACTTTCTGAAAGAATAGCATTATAGACATCAAAATTTTGGAAATTACTGGAGATTCTTGTTTTAAACATAAATTTTGAAAAAAAATGCTCCAGAAGCGAAATATCTTCTTCTCCGATTTTGACTACTGTAGAATCTCGAAATTTCATATTTCTTAAAAGATGAGCATTATGGATATCAAAATTTTGGAAATATTGCGGACTTTCTTGTTTGGAAGGTTAAAATGTTGAAAAGTGCTCCAGAAGCTGAATATTCTCTTCTCCGATTTTGGCTTTTTCAGAATCCAAAAATCCGAATTTTATGGAGTCATGGCAATATGGGTATCAAATCATAGGATATTAACTAGAGATTCTTATTTTTGGGTTTATTTTTGTCTAGAAAGACTTGTAAAAAATTTTTAGGTGTTTTGTCCGAAAAAAAAGTTGTTCGAAAAAGAAAATTTTCAGACAAAAATCCTAACTTTTTTCCCACAAGATGTAATTTATTTTGTTCTTTGGCTAGTCTATTGAAAAGTGCACTTTTCGACTCATGAGTCTGAAAATCAAGGAATTTTGAGAATTTCAGACAAATTTCAGAATTTTTGTTTCCAATTTTTCTACCAAAAAAAAAGTAAATTAACTTTTCTCGCTTCTGACTCTCTCTATAATCAAAACCCTTATCACCTTATTACTGAACACATTCAGGTGGAAAAAACGGAAAAAAATAACAGAAGAGCGAAAAATTTTTCCTCTGCTTTTCTCTTTTTTTTTGGCTGCGCTCATATATTTCCTTTCTGGCTTTTTCAGCCGCGCACATTTATTGATTTTTGTTGTTGTTGGTGGTGATAAGGATTATCACTAAAGCTTATCACCAACAAAAAGAATATTTGATTGGGTCTTAATTGGCCACTAATTGGTCTCAAAATTCTACCAAACAATAATCTAGATGAGCTGGAAGATTTGGATGGGGAGAATTCAGGTGAATTTCAAGAATTAATTGAAATTTCGAAAGTTTGAAAATTTTGATTTTCGAATTTCTGAGATTCTGAGATTCTGAATTCCTGAATTTTCAGAAAATTCCAAATTTCTCAAGAATTCGAAATTCAGATATTCTGAATTTCTGAGTTTCCGAATTTCTGATTTTCCAAATTTCTAAATTTCTGAATTTTTGAATTTTAAAATCTTAGAATTTCCGAATTTATAAATTTCCGAAATTTCGAACTTTCTGAATTTCTGAGTTTCTGAATCTTAAATTTTCAGAAAATTCCAAATTTTTCAAGAATTCGAAGTTTGGAGATTCTGAATTTCTGAATTTCTAAATTTCCGAATTTCTAAATTTCCGAATTTCTGAATTTCTGAATTTCTGAATTTCTGAATTTCTGAGATTTGAATTTCTGAATTTCTGAATTTCTGAATATTTGATTTTCCGAATTTCTTATTCTTAGAATTTCGGAACCTTGGATTTCCTAAAAATTCCCATAAGTTCAAAAATGGTTTTTTTTTCCAAAATTTTTTTCCAATTTTCGAAAATTCACCTTTCCGACCTACCTAGTCTAATTAATTAATATTATGATTCTAAATTACCTCAAACTAGGCTTCTTCTCAACATTCTACACCGATTCTCCCAAAAGAAGCGGTAAACAGAATATTAAGCTGAGCAATTACCAAAAAGCCAAAGCCAGCCGGCTGGTTGCAAAAAGCCTAATTATCCTTCTATATATGTACCGACCACTTTTCTATTGGACACCCATAATTATATGCCCCGGTCCATTTACCTGAGAAAAGAGGGAAAAAAGAAACAATAGGACATTTTAAAGGGGAGAGCCAGATGGTCAATAATTTATAAGGGATGGTCCGCGCGCGCGGGGCTAAATAAAGGGACATGGAGGTGAAAATGGAGATTTGAAAGTTAGAAATTTGAATTTCTCATGAAAATCTGATCTAGGGAGAATAATACTGTTCATAGGGTGGAATAAAAATGGAACCAAAAAATGTTTTTTTTCAAAAACAATTTTTTAAAAGGTTACTAACTTTGAGCTCATTTATCTCAGCTCCCAGGCAAGATATCAAGAAGTGGTCAACTGATAAAATATTACTGATATTATGATAAAAATTTTATCAGTTGGAAATTTGTTTATATCTCTCATGAGAGATAATTGAGCTCAAAGTTGACACGGTAGCTAAAAATTCAAAAATTTGGGTTTTTGAAATCGTCAAATTTGAGCTCAATTATCTCAATTGCTATGAGAGATATCAAAAACTTGTTAACTAATAAAATAATTATCATAGTATCACTAATATTTTATCAGTTTACTTCTTTTTGATATCTCTTACAGTAACTGAGATAATTGAGCTCAAAGTTGATACAATGGCTAAAAATTCAGAAATTTAGGTTTTTGTAATCGTCAACTTTGAGCTTAATTATCTCGGCTCTTTTAACAAATATTAAAATTTTGCCAACTGATAAAATATAGATAATTTTATGATAAACAATTTATCAGTTGACGACTTTTTGATATCTTTTATAGGAACCCAGATAATTGAGCTCGAAGTTGGCAGTAGCGAAAGTTTGGAACTTTCGGTACCCTAGACACTCTAAAACTTTAATTTTTTCAGAAATGGAAGTGATTCATCAAAACGTAGACGGTGGAGACTCTAGAGACGGACAATATCAGTACTCGGGATACAATCAGTGAGTTTGGGGTTAGGCGGGAAATTTGAATTAAAAAATAAAAAAAACTTACATATCCATATTAGCGATGTAGTGCTAGGAATATAGAAATTCTTGAAGACGTCGTCAACGACGACGACGTCTTCAAGAAGTGAGGGAAGAAAGTGGTTGGGAGGAAGAAGGCAAGATCTCCTAGGTGATGGCCGGGTCCCGCGGAAGCTGCCAACGGTTTCTAAGGTTACAGAGAGTAAGAAGCGAAAGAAGAAGAAGAAGAAGTCATAGAATTTTATAGGAGGAGGTGGAGGAGGGAAGGATCTTAAGGATCTTAAGAATCCAGGAATCTGGGATCTTAAGAATTTAAGGAATCTAGGAATCGAGGAATCTAGGGATCCAGTGATCCAGGAACCCAGAAATCCAAGAATCCTGGCAATCTAAGAACCCTAAGAATCCTAAGAAACTCAACATCCCTCAAAATGACTTCTTGGCTACGGCGACAACAAGAATCCATTAGTGTCATTTTTCTTGCTTAACATCATTCGGAAATCCATCATCATCAATATTAACATGCTCTTCAAAAAGAGAAAAAAAGTGTATTGGGATGAATGAAGAAGAAGCAGAAGAAGAAGAAGGCTGCGTCGTCGTTGGAATTTATATTCTATTGGCGGTGCCTCGCCCCTTGGCAACGGTGACGATGGAAACCGAATTGAGGCGCGCGGGGGAGAGCTTCTTCCTTTTTTTGAGAGCAGCCGATTTCCAGAGAGTTGTTTGGATATGATGAATGAGTCAAAGAGGTTGTTGGAGGAGATGACACCCTCCCGGGCCGCGGATGTCCGCGGTCAAGGTGGTGGGATGTATGGCTCTGTTCGGTTATAGCTGGACCATGATTCGATCTAGGCGTTCGAAACAGAGGGTCACCGGAATTTGTAAATTTTGGATTTTTAAAAAGTTAAAAACATCAAGCTTGGTCTATATTATGAGGACTACAAGTTAGATGCATGAAGGATCATGAGCTACCCTGAATTTGCTATTTGAGCTCAATTATCGCACTTCCTTCAAGAGATATCAACAAATGATCAACTGACAAATTATTTATCACGATATCACCAACATTTTATCAGTTGACAGAATTTCGATATCTTCTATAGAGACCTATATAATTGAGCTCAAAGTGGTCGGTACCTAACGAAATTAGTACCTAACGAAAAAATCGTTAGAACGAGGACTAAGTACACCTGGTCTTACAAAAAATGAGCATATGCATCGGATTTTCTAATTTAAGACATGATTTAAAAAATATCCTGACCTGAGGATCCTGAGGAGCACACCAACCCGAAAATCTGCTTTCTAGAACTTTTAGGACACGAGATACAACAGCTTGAAGATCAAAACGGCTAAAACGCTAAAAATGGATTTAATAGCCAAAACCCAGAGCTTCATTTCTGTTCAAAAACCAACTTTCTTGCCATTCTAGAAGCCAAGATACAGATGTTTGAAGTTTTGGAAGCTAGAGACGCCAGACAACGAGACACGCTGCGTCTCTAGCCTCGCAAACTCTAAATCGCTGTAACTCGTCTTCTAGCTAAGCTAGGAAGCTGATTCTTTTTGTGATTTGTGGAGCTGAATGTCTATTTTCTATGGAATATTGGAAAATTCAAAGTCTGAAAGCTCTTCAGGGCTGGATATGAACAGGAATAGCGAAGCAGTCAATTTATAAATATGGGAAATGCGGTCCATCAGAGGATGAAAAACGGGGGAAATCCAAATCCGAAAATCAGGATCAGCACCTTTTTCATGCGCTTATCTCTCTTTATCTCTCTCTTTCTCACTCAGTCAACCCAACAACATCTCCTGCTTCTTCCAACACCTCGTCCTATGTACGCTTAATTGTCTTGGTAACCATCCGATCGTCTTGGTAACGGAAGGCATGACGTTGGCTTGGTTGGAAAAAGAGGAAAAAATGAGCTAAAAATGAGTTAAACATATGTAGTTGGGTGGGATTGCTTCGAATTGGGGAAGATAAATGATCTACCTACCGTATATCTACCGCAAACCAGGAGTTTAGAAAATCAGAAAATTCGGATCAAGCGTTTGAAAATGCGCTCCACTAAACCTCAGCATTCAAAGTCACATAATGATTTCCAAAAATCAAGTTTCTAACTTATCTAGAAGCCGAGCTACAGCGATTTGAAATGAGCGAGGTTAGAGACGCAGACAACGAGATAGTCTAGCTGTTTTCATAGACAATTTGAAAACCCAACTTAAACTATGCAATTCTGTCAAAAAACCGATTTCCTAGCTTATCTAGAACTCGAGATACGGTCATTTGAAGTTTGGAAGGGTAGAGACGCAGCGTGTCTCCTCGTCTGCGTCTCTAGCCTCCAAAACTTCAAGCAGCTATATCTCGGTTTCTAGAAGCGATAGAAACTTGGTTTTGTGACAGAAATGAAGCTCTGGATTAGGGCTACCCAACAGAATACGATTGGTTTAACACAAACTAAAAATCAAGTTTATACAAAATCTAGTTTTTTGGAATTTTCGAGTTTCAGAAGAAAATGTACATTCAGCTCTAAAAATTACAAAAAGAAACATCATTCTAGCTCATCCAGAAGCTGAGATACACCGATTCGAAGCTTCGAAGGCTAGAGACGCAGCGTGTCTCGTTGTCTGGCGTCTCGAGTCTCCGAAACTGTGAGCAACTGTATCTTGGCTTCTAGAAGGGCAAAAAAAAAGACGCACTGGATTTTGGCTATCACATTAATGTTTGACTTTAGTTAAAATCTCGATGCTCAAAAATCCGATTTTCTGTTTTTTTTTTCAATGTCTCTGGTCCATGACCTAGACCATCTCAAGGCCATGGCCTAGCCCAACGACCTTTTCGGTTTCTTCAAGTTTTCCAAAAAGAGGCTCGATCCCAAAGAAGTCACCTTTGCATCCGCCTGGCATAAATCATAAGACTATACGAAAAACTTCGAGAAAGAGCTCGTCTTTCCGCCAGTAAAGGTCATAAATCCCGAAACCCATTAGGCTGCGCCCGTCGGACCTGTAACCATGGATCCCAACTCTCAAAAGAAGGGAAAACGTTTCTATTCTTTCGAAAAAGAAGAAGAATACCCAAAAGAGTACACAGAGACAAGAGTGTCATCCCTTTTTGAATGGCTAATGACCTTTTTTGGCTCAGCCAACGGGACCCGACGCTTTGAGAGTCAGTTTAGTTTCCGTCCTAAACGATGCACACACCTCTCGACTTCTTCTCACATCTTCTGGATTCAGAATCTGAGTCTTCTGGAATTCCAAAGATGTATCCGTGCAACTCAATGTACAGGTATGGGCCCTCTGAAGAAAGAAGAAGAACAATAATTTCCCACGGCGGAGCAACCATTGGTTACTGTTGCCCTAGGTGAATTCCCCTTTGTCTTCTTGGAGTCTTCCGACCGAGACGACGTCTTCTTATTCTTATTCTTCCTTCCGAGTTTGTCGTCTTGGTTAAATATAAAATATTCCTCAACTAACTATGGAAACTAGTGGCAATGTCAGCCGACTGCTCGTTTGGCCAATGAATTTGTCATCAAGGTGTCTGAAAAAAGCGGGGGGACTCCAAAACATGAAAAAATAGGGACCAAAAAGTGTGGAGCGCTTTCTAGACTGTATAGGTTACTATTTAGCAGATGGTGGACCCTTTAGGACATAGGGTACTCAGCCTGAAGATTTTTTTGGACACGCATGGATTCTATGATCTTCCAGATCCTAGGAAGTTGAAGATCTAGATTTTTTGGATTCTTTGGAGTTTTCTAATCGTCAAAAATCGACATTTTGAAATTTTCGATTTTTTGGTTCTCGAAATTTCTTGCCGAAAAAATTTGTTTCAAGCATTTTGAATTTCAGAATCGTTTTCAGCTCGTTAAGAGCTTCAAAATGAGTACAAACACGGCCCAGTTATCTTGAAATCGAGAAAATGGCGAAAAAGCTACAGTAACCCGAAAAAATCAAAATCGACGTTAAATGGTCGAATTTGGTATCATTTTGAAGGTCTCAGCGAGACAAAATTAATTTTGCTGACGAAATTGGATTTTGATAATTTTTTTTCAAAATTTCAGCGCCGTCACACCAAATGGACAAAACTATCAATTGTATGGTGCCGATACGTCGTACTCGCAGTACTATCCGGTGAGTTTGGCATTCTTAAATTTGCGCAAAGAACATTTTGCGACAAAAACTATATTTCTAGGATGCCTAGGAGGCGAGATACAGCGATTTAAAGTTTAAGGAGAGACGCAGACAACTAGACACTCTCGCTGTCTGCGTCTCTCCTAGACTTCAAACGGCTGTAACTTGGCGTCTAGAAAAGCTAGAAACTTAGAATGAAGCACAATTTCAAAATTTCAGTACACCAACAATCTTCAACAAAGTCCACAGGACACCAGTGGAGCATACTTGGTCCCCAATGCTGCACAGTCACCAGTCTCCATCGAGGATCAGGACACTCAGCTGTTGCCCAACAATCAAAGAGCATCTCCAGCGACGGTGGGTTTTTAAGCTCAGATTGTATCTTTCTAGCTCATCTAGGTGCTGAGATACAGGCACTCAAAGTTTAAGAGGTTAGAGACGCAGGCGACGAGACACGCTGTGTCTCTAACCTCTCTAACGTCAAATCGCTGTAACTTGGCTCCCAGATGAGCTAGGAAGATGATTCTTTTTGCTATTTGGGTCTAAAAGGAAGTTCTTGTCATTGAAATGGGAAATTTCATCATTTTGCCCCAAGTTTCAGTTTTCTAGCTCTACTTGAAGTTTTGAAGGCTAGAGACGCAGACAACGAGACACACTGCGTCTCTAGCCTTTGGAGGGGCATATCTCAGCTCCCAGAAAAGCTAGAAAGTTGGTTTTTCGACAGAATGACATAGTTTAAGTTGGATTTTCAAAGTATCCATGGAATTTCCAAGGTATTCCAAAATTGAAATTTTAAGGGTCTTTAGAAACTTTGAAAAATTGCGCCCAAAAAATAGAACTGTCAAGTATTGTTACTAGCGAAAAAATGACCGGAATTCCCATCATTTTGCTCCAAGTTTCAGTTTTCTAGCTCTTTTAAGAGCCAAGATACAGCTACTTGAAGTTTCAAGAGGCTAGATACGCCAGACAACGAGACACACTGCGTCTCTAGCCTCCAAAACTTTGAACGGCTATATCTTGGCTTCTAGGAGAGCTAGAAACACTGTCTTTGAACAGAATTAAATGGAATCTTTTCAACTTTCTCTTGAATGATAATTTAGAGACGCAGACAGTCCGAATGTCTGGTTGTCTGCGTCTCTAGCGTCTAAAACTTTGAATGGCTATATCTCGGCTTTCAGGAGAGCTAGAGAGCTGATTTTAACGCATTAACAATGAGATTTTGTCTACTTCCAGATTGAAAAAAAAATAAATATAAAACAATTTAAAAATGGAAATACCACAATGAGAAATCAAAGTTACCTAACTAACAAAATTGTATCAGTAGCTCTCGAAAATCCAAATGAATAGAATACAAATTTCGGGATACATAATCCGCTGCTCCATAGCAACAAGTACGTAACCAAGAAGAAGAAAAACTATATAGAAAATTCTGGAAAACCTTCTTCTTCTTCTTCTTCATCTTTTTCTTTCTAAAAGCAGTCAAGAAGAAATAACTGCCGGAAGTCGTTTAACCCCACAACGACCCCCCAACTCCCGTTTACCTCTTGGAAGGGACGACTACCATAGGCTCCGCCCACGTTTTCTAGAAGACGTCGTTTTAGAATTATTCATGCTCCTCCTCGCCATAGCAACCAGAGAGTCATCATCTTATCTCTTATCCGGAAAGATGAGAGGGATATAGTGGAAGGAGAGAGAAAACACTTTTCTAGCCTTGACGTCTTCTATTTTGACTTCCTGACATCCTCTGCTTTTTCTGAGCAACAACTTTTGATTGAGCAAGAAATTTCCCATTGCTCATGTCCCAAGACACTAATCGTAAACTACCATTACTGTACTTGTGGCGTCGACGAATGACACTGTTGGGGTGTCCAGCGAATGCGAACACCACACTTGATGGGTTGGTGTCTGATAGTAAGCTTCATGTGAGTGTGATAATATAAGTTTCATGCTACAAAATACAAAAATCATGAGCTTTCTAGCTCAATTTTGAGTTGGCTAGCCCATTTTTGAAACTTAGCTTGTAGATGAGCGAGAATGATGATTTTGGTACTGAAAAATAGCGAAAATTTTGAATTAGGCAAAGATTGTTTCAAACATTTTTAAAAAAATCTGAGTTTTCTCTACAATCTACAAAAAAGATGAACTTTCTAGCTTTCCTGGGAGCCGCGATATGGCCGCTCAAAGTTTGAGAGGTTAGAGACGCAGACGACGAGACACACTGCGTCTCTAGCCTCTTTAGCTTCAAACAACAGTATTTAGCTTCAAACAACAGTATAAGCTAGAAAGCTGATTCTTTTAGTAGTTTGTGAAGCTGAGTTTCTATTTTCTACCAGCAAGCTGGTGCGCCGTCGGCGCGATTTAATTTTCTATAAAAATGTGAAAATTCTATTTTCAGATTTTTTGAAAATCATCCCAGTTCATTTCATAGCCGTGATTCCGACTTACGTTTCTGTACAAAAATCAAGTTTCTAGCTCATCCAGGAGCCGAGATGTCGCCAGTTAAAGTTCAAGAGGATAGAGACGCAGTGTATCTCGTCGTCTGCGCCTCTAGCCTCCGAAAGTTCGAGCGGCTGTATCTCGGCTTCTAGAAAAGCTAGAAAGATGATTTTTTGATGGAAATGTGTGGAATTTAATTATCTTCATTTCTATCTAATTTTCATTTCTTACAAATTTCTAGCGACTCTAGGAGTTGAGATACAGTAACTCAAAGTCTCGTTGTCTGCGCCTCTTTAAAAATTCAAACCGCTGTATCTCGGCTCCTAGGCGATCTAGAAGAATGAAAATTAGACAGAAAAATTCGTAAACAAAATATTGAAAAATTCTCAAATTTCTGTGAATTTCAGATTGGCTGGCTATTCGAAAACTACGAAATTGCCGAAGGATCCTCATTGCCAAGATGTCAGCTCTACGATCATTACAGAAAGTGAGTTGGCTGATATCTTATCATTTTCTGTCCATATTTCTCTTGAATATTTATTAAATCCCAAAATTCCCAAAATTCCAGACACTGCGAAGAGCATCGTATGGATCCTGTCAATGCCGCGTCGTTCGGCAAACTCATTCGATCGGTATTCCAAAATTTGAAAACGCGCCGATTGGGAACGCGCGGCAATTCAAAATACCACTACTACGGTATCAAAATGAAGGACAACTCGCCTCTGCACTTGGCTCCGAATACGATACATCCTGAATGCTTCGTGCCGCCATTACAGCAAATGGGAGTGCAGAGAAATGGTGGAAATCTAGGTGGAGGTGGAGGAGGCGACGTGTACGTGGATACCATCAATCAGGTGGCCGCTGTCAAGTATGTGGATATGAATGGAGGACATAGAAAGCGATCCAAGAGAGGACACTCGTCCACGTCAAGTTCGGATGATAGAGAGTGAGTTTTGGGACTTATGGAAGATATAATTTTTCTACACAAACACATAAAATAATCAAGTTTCTAGCTTCTTTAGGAGCTGAGATACACCCATTCAAAGCTTGTGAGGCTAGAGACGCAGTGTGTCTCGTTGTCTTCTAAAATTTATAATGACTGTATCTCGGCTCCCAGATAAGATAGAAAGATGAAAATTGGGCAGAAGTGTACAGTTTTCCATAAAACAAAAATGGAAAAATCTGAATTTTCGAGAATTAACAAAAATGTTTTTTCGAATTTCCGATTATTTTTTGAGTTTTGTTTAATTTACAAAAATCTGAACACTTTCGCGCAGAAACCAAATTTCTAGCTCATCTAGAAGTCGAGATACAACGATTTGAAGTTTCGAAGAGACACAGACAGCTAGAGTGTCTTGTTAACTGCGTCTCTCACCACCTAAAATTGAACTGGCTATATCTCGGCTCCTGGAATAGCTAGAAAGCTGGATCAAAAACTAAAAGAAAGCTGAAAATGTGAGATTTTCGAAACTACAAATCACCTCATTGTGGGCTAGTCTAGAAAATGCTTCTTCTAGAAATCCAAAATTCAAAAAAAAATTGCAAGTACAATTTTAAAAAAATACAAAATTTTTCTTTTCATTTCGTCTAATTTTCATCTTTCTAGCTTGTCTAGGAGTAAAGATACAGCTGCTTGAAGTTTTGGAGAGACGCAGACAGCTAGACTATCTCGTCGTCTGGCGTCTCTAGCCTCCAGAAACTTCAAATGGCTGTAACTTAGCTCATAGATAAGCTAGAAAGATGAAAATTGTACAGAAATGTGTGAAAATGAGCTGGCCTTCTGAAAATTCTAAATTTACAGCAGCGCCTCTCCTGCCCTCGGTGTTCCCACACATCAAACCATTGTCAACCGAACCAACGAGCTGGGCGTCTCAATCCCGCCACAACAGATTGGCTTCCAGCCGAATGCCACGCCGGCGGTCCCATACATTTTCACGGATCAGGACAGGAAGGGAATGGGAAAGGCGCAAATGCCAAATGTTCAGTTCACCGACAAGGCTGGTCTGCTTTCGACGATTAGGTGAGTGGGAAAATCGAGAAATTTGGGGGAAAAAAATTTGAAAACAAAATTTAAAAAATCCCATAATTTCAGTGAAATCTCCAAAATAAATCCAAATGGAGTGTACGTTTATTTTTAAGAATTTGCTTGCTGTGAATAATTCTAAAATTTTGAGTTTTTAAAAAATTCCGTTTGCTAATTCCTGTTCCCGAGCATGAGAATTTTTCACTAACTGCAACCCCAGATGACCTAGAAATCCAAAAAAAAATCTGTAGGCCGGAGATGCAGACCACAAGACACTCTAACTGTCTGCGTCTCTCCAAAACTTCAAACTTGTAAAATCGAAAAGTTTTATCCAATTCTGTCCAAAAACTATGTTTCTGGCTCTCCTAGGAGCCGAGATACAACCGCTTGAAGTTTGGAGAGACGCAGACAGCGACAGAACGATAGGAAGCATTTTTGTATTTTCAAACAGTTAGCTGAAAATTAGATATAACCAAATTTTCTGAATTTTGGTTTTTTAAAAATTTCCTTTAAAAAATTTTTCTCCTAAAAATTTTCCTTTTTTCAGAAAATCAAAAAAATTTCATCCAATTCTGTCCATAGAGCATGTTTCTAGCTCTTCTAGGAGCCGAGATACAACCGCTTGAAGTTTGGAGAGACGCAGACAGCGAGACACGCTGCGTCTCTAACCTCCTGAAACTTCAAATCGCTGTATCTCGGGTTCTAGATGAGCTAGAAACTCGTTTTTTCCCACACAAAGAGGAAAGTCTGAAAAATCTGAAAACTTTTGAAACAGGTCCCTAGCTTTCCTAGAAGCCGAGATGCAACAATTCATAAAGAAACGCAGACAGTTAAAATACTTCCAAGAGCCGTATCTCGGCTCGTATACGGCCTAGAAACTTGGTTTTTTCAGAGAATTTAAGGAAAATTCTTCTATATTATTTTTAATATACGTTTTGGATAAAAAGTCTTGGCTCCGAGCCGAGCATTTCACAAGAAAAACGACCTCTTCTAGAAGTCGAGATACAGCGTTTTGAAGTTTTTGGAGGCTAGAGACCAAACGACGAGACACAGTGCGTCTCTAACTCTAACTGTCTGCGGCTCTTCGAAACTTCAAATCGCTGTTTCTCGGCATCTAGACATGCTAGAAAGATGAAAATTCGACAGAATTATAGGAAAAATTTTGTATTTTTAGAAAAAAAAATTAATTTTTGGATTTTTATTATTTGGGTTTTGGGAAATCAGATTTTTCAGAAAACTGAGTTAGCTCAAAAAATCTTTATTTTGGAAATTTGAAATTTTAGATTATGTTAGTTTTTTTGTTTGTCCTAGGCTGTTTTTAAATTGACTTTACCCTCGTTTTTGCTCTAACAAAGCAAAGCCTCAACTTTGAGCCAATTTATCTCGCTTCTTGTGAAAGATATCAAAAAGTTGTCAACTGATAAATTGTTCATCATATTATCCGTAGTGTTTTATCAGTTACCATCTTTTTGATATCTTTTACAGGAAGTGAGATATATGAGCTCAAAGTTAAGGGCTTTAACCTTTATCCTAAAACTTACCTAACGCTCAACGTTGAGCTCAATTTATCTCGGCTCCTGTAAGAGATATCAAAAAATTGTCAACTGATAAAATGTTAAAAATATTATCAGATGCGTTTTATCAGTTGACCACCTTTTGATATCTTTTACAGAAAATGAGATATACAAGTTCAAAACTTTAACCTTAACCTTCGCCCTAAAGCTTACCCCTAACCCGTTCCCCTCTAAAAATTATTTAAAAATCAAAATTCAATTTTGCAGCTTCCGAAAGCTCGGACTCAACGAGGGACACATCACAAAACTGATCGAGGAGTACGATCGAATGTGCTATGACGTTTTGGCAATGGTGAAATCTCTGGAATTCTCGAAAATCGAAGAAATGTGGTCATCATTCTGGTCAGGAGGCTGCGGAATCAAGCATGACGTCCTAATGCTCTATGTACCCTAGATAAGATCCAAGATCATATCATCGAGGTGGATCTGAACCTTTATCAGACAATGGTGGATGTCTTGATCCCCAATGTCTTGCTCTCCGAGCTCTCCGCTGGAATGACTCAGTCTTGTAGAACCTTCGGGAAGAATATTGACGTATATCTCCGAAAAGCGTTGATCAGTGGAAATCTGAACGAGACTTTTATCAAGAAGAAGATCCAAGCGATCAAGTACATGCAGCAGGGACTCAAGCGCTACACTTCCTTGAATCACCTGGCGCATGCGGCACGTGGAGTACTGCAGAAGGATGAGCTGTGTCAGCAGATGTATCAGGATTATATCAAAGTGGATATTATGGCTGTTCATCAACAAGCCGGATGGATTTGCAACTGTGATAGTGTCATGGTTCAACATGTTAACAATGCCTTTAAGGAGAATTTACAAAAAATGAAGCCGATGAGCGTTTGGGCGGAATGGTTGGAAAGTATTGTGGATCAAGTACTGGCCAAGTATCATGACAAACCATCCAATATGGTGTCTAATGTTGGAAAACAGTTCTTGCTCAACTGGAGCTTCTACACCTCAATGATCATTCGAGAGCTGACGCTGAGATCTGCCACGTCTTTCGGATCGTTCACTTTAATTCGGCTACTTGCGGATGACTATATGTATCATTTGATAGCCACCAAGATTGCAAGGGTATGTTGTTCTTTGCTTTTGAGCCACATTTCTAGCTTTCCTGACATTTGTGATACAGCGATTTGAAGTTTTAAAGCTTCAAAAGACAAGCGAGAAAGCTAGAAACTCAACTTTTTAAAACTTAGTTCAAAAATACACAAAACCCAAAAAGAATCAAGTTTCTAGCTGCTCTAGGAGCTGAGATATGCCCTTCTACGAGGCTAGAGACGCAGACAACGAGACACACTGCGTCTTTAACTTTTTCGAAGAGACGCAGACAGACGAAACTTCAAACTGCTGTATCTCGGCTTCTAGACGGGCTAGAATGATAAAAATTAGACAGAACGATAGGAAGCATTTTTGTATTTTCAAACAGTTAGCTGAAAATTAGATATAACCAAATTTTCTGAATTTCGGTTTTTTTAAAAATTTCCTTTCAAAAAATTTTCTCCTAAAAATTTTCCTTTTTTCAGAAAATCAAAAAAATTTCATCCAATTCTGTCCAAAAAGCATGTTTCTAGCTCTCCTAGGAGCCGAGATACAACCGCTTGAAGTTTGGAGAGACGCAGACAGCGAGACACGCTGCGTCTCTAACCTCCTGAAACTTCAAATCGCTGTATCTCGGGTTCTAGATGAGCTAGAAACTTGTTGTTTTTGACCCACACAAAGAGGAAAGTCTGAAAAATCTGAAAACTTTTGAAAAAAGGTTTCTAGCTTGCCTAGAAGCCGAGATACAACGATTTTAAGCGAGGGAGCGAGAGACGCAGACAGTTGGAAAACTTCAAAGAGCTGCATCTCGGCTCTCACGCGGTCTAGAAACCTGTTTTCTCCACCAAAATGATCCTCAGAAGCTATCAATCTAAAAACGGTTCTTTTCAGGCCAGCAATCAGCCACTAATCACTGTCACCCGCCAAGACAAGGATTGGCCGCTGGCCAAAGAGGCCAAAGAGTACATCGTGCCACCTGCCGATGATCATGACGATGACTTGAATGTTAATTAGAGATTTAGAAATTTCTGGAAACATTTTTTATCGATTTTTTAAATAATTTTTAGTCTCCCAGATTCTCATTTTTTCCCCCAACCCCAGTGCTATTTTTTCAAGAAATCTAGTCAATTAATTTTTTCATTTTTTATTTTTTTTTCCTCTCTCTCCCTCTCTCTCTCTCTCTTTCTCAATAAGTCTCTTGCCATAATCCCCAATTTTTCTGAAAACTCTCACAAAATCTGTGACACAAAATTCGACACAAAATCGCATAATTTTTCTCAAAAATCAATAATCCATCGATTTTTTGAAACAATCTTTGATCTCTTCTACAGTACCTAGTTTTGGCTATTTTTCGTCTGATAATTCGCATAATTTTTTCTCTAAAATGTGATTTTTCGGAATCGTTATTTTTCTAGCCTCTCCCTTTTTTTCTGAAATTTTGATCTGAAAATTTTCGCTTTTCTCTACATTTTCTATTTTTGGTTGATTTCGAATGAAGGGATCATCGGGTTAAAATTGTTTTCAAACTGAAAATTCTCAGGAAATTTGAAAAACTTAAAAATCAAAAAAAAATCTGAAAATTTTCGATCAAAATTTTCAAAAAACTAAAATTTCTGGAAATCCAATTTTTTGCGAAATTCTGAAAATTCTAAAAACTAAAAACAAAATCTGAAAATTAGGAAAGTCTGAAAAATACAAAAAATCTGGAAATTCGAAAAAAAAATGAAAAGCTGAAAATAAAAAAAAATATTAATTCAGTCGGAAAAAGTACAGGTTTAACGGCAGGATATCTCTCCTCCGCGCTACCGGGCACAAGTCCGGAATAGAAAAAGAAACGAGAGAGAGAAGAGACGGAGAGAAACGGAAAGGGCGGAAACTCGGAACGAAATCACTGAATTCAAGGCGAATTCAGTGAAGAATGTGAGACGAAAGAAGACAACAAAGAAGACAGCTTTTTATAAACACAATTGGTTTATTAAAGGTGGGCGGACATGAGATTTTTCGTAGTTTTTTTGTAGCTAGAGTATGCATTCTACCGTGACGGTGTACAACGTTTAATGTCACTCTGCGTACAGCTTTCGCCCTCGTCTTTATGTATGCAATCGGGCGTGCGCTTTCTCTTTGCCCGTGTGGCTCAGTCGGTAGCGGCGCCGCACCCTCAATCATCGCCCTCACAAGTTCAACTCCTCGAGGGGCATCTTTGAACGGAATTTCGACAACATTATTTTTTTCATGTCCCCCCACCTTTAAACTGGGAAATCAAGGCAAAAGGTAACTAGAAGGCAAGGGAAATCAAGGTAACAAGGGAAACTATGAGCCAACACTCGGGATATCGGTAACCAGGGGGAAAAGTTAACAACAGAAGGCAAATTCGGTAACAAAACGGTAGCCAATAAAACTGTCGAAGAGTAAGCAGGGTATTCACCAAGCTGGTGCCCTTCTCCGAACAGAATAGCCGAAAAAACCAGGGTTGCAATCTGACGGGCTGGCCGGCAATTAATTAATATTTTTTCTGAAATTTTTTTTTCTGAAACTTTCAGGCCCGTGATCTTGTCACAAAGTTAATGCCGTCAGCTATTCCCTTTACTACTCAACCCACCTCATCGCAGAAGTCAAATCTAATTGCAAAGTTATATCATTCGGTCAGTGACCAAGCGAACTCAACATCCACTTCTTCGGAAATCTCAAGATATCTCTCCGAGTACTACGATCCTTCAACGAACGAATCGGTTGAGGAGTATTGGAAAAGAAAAAGATTCGAATACCCCGGACTGTACTCAGCAGCACTTTTCGTTTTTTCGATTGTTCCCAGTGAAGCCATGTGTGAGACTACGTTCAGCACTGCGTCGTTTTTGTTAGATAAAACAAGAACAAGATTACTGTACAAGCGTGTGGAGATGGTCGTTCTGGGTTCGCAAATAGCCACGAAATTTCCACACTGGCTCGACTGATTCTCTCACTAATTGTAGTGATTTTTCTAGTTAATTTTATGTTACTTTTCTATCTTTTTTGTTGGATTGGTTGATATGAGCTTTAATTTTCTCCCCCGGTTTCCATTTCTTTGCTTCCCCTTGTTCATTTATACGGTTTTTACATTGTTATGGTACTTGTTAAGAAATAAATTCAAATAATTCTTCAATAATTTCTGTTTTTTCTTAAATTCGAACGGGCCGAACCGGCCGAACCGGCCGGGCCGGGCTGGCCGGGGCTTCCGGCCGGGCCGGAGAAAAAATAATCTCGGCCCGGCCCGGCCGGTTGCAACCCTGGAAAAAACAGGGCCAGAAAACAAATTCACAGATTTCCCGCCTATATTTTGGCGCCAGTGCGAAAGCGCGCATTTCCATTAGTTACGGCGGAATATTCAATTTACGAATATTTAGAGACTTTAAAGGCTTATTCGAAGAAGAACCGGATGAGAATCCGACAATTCAGAAACATTTCAGAGTTTTTGGAAAAATGGAAAAAAAACCTAATTTTCAGAAATTCCAGAAGAAAAAAAATCAGGAATTTTGAAAACGGAAAAAATAGGAAATTCAGAATTTTTACAAAATTTTTTTTTTTTAATTTTTGACTCAATTTTTTAAAACCCAAATTCCAACAAACCTATACATATCTATACTCATTTTGAAGCTCAAAAACCGATGCATTCAAAAATTCTAATTTCATTCAATTAAGGTGAAAATGGTTCAAGTTACACCCCTTACAAATTCGGTCATTAAAAATCCCAGAAATCCCTAAAAGAACACATTTTAGGAAACCCGTTTTTTCTCTCATTTCCGAATTCTCTTCAGAAACACGAACAATAGAACAATAGATAATAAAAGAGGTGATTAGCCATAGATATGATAATTATTATTATCAACTTCTTCCCATTGGTCGCTTTTTCTCATTATTTGAAAAATGAAAATTCAAATTCTTCTCCTGTTGTGCTATTTTTCTGTGACTTTTTCGAGTCGGGTAAGTGTATAAAATGAATATTTGAAATCAGCTTGTTTTGAGCTTCAAAATGACTATAAATATGTCAATTTCGAAAAAAAATCCAAAAATTAAGTTTTTTCCAAATCTAGTCATGTTTACACTCATTTTGAAGCTCTTTTTGAGTTGAATTCAAATCTGTAAAGTTTTTTGAAATTAGGCAAAAATTGACTGAGTTACGCCCCTATTTGTAAAAAAAGCTCGAGAGTCAGAGAAGCGAGAGACGCTGCGTCTCTAGCCTCCATTTTTCAATGTGGACAAATTCTAGTCATGTTTATACTCATTTTGAAGCTCCTAATGAGTTGAATTCAAAATTATTGATTTCATCAAAAGCCCAAGTTATGCCCTAGAAGAAAACAATTCTCACAAATTTTTTGAAAACAATTTTTTAAAAACTTTTTGAAAATTGAGAAGATAAGACTTTCAGCAGTTTCTCATCTCAAATTCAAATTTCTAATGTTTCGAGCTTTGAAAAGATTATAAAACACGCCTGGGTTCCAGGAATTTCAATTATTGGAGGTCCCACAACGGAAACTTGAAAAATCTGGATTTTCCCTATTACGGTAGGAGTGCATTATACACTACATACTCTTGGAAATTCAACTTCTCCTGGTTTTAAGCTTCAAAATGAGTATAAACACGACCATATTTTGAAAAAAAAATGTTTGGGCGATAGAAATTAGGCTCAAACTAGCTGAGTTACGCGTCGTTGAATAGTGCGAGAGTCAGAGAAACCAGACACACTGCGTCTCTAGCCTCCATTTTCAATCTTGATCAATTCTAATCATGTTTATACTCATTTTGAAGCTCTTTTTGAGCTAAATCCAAATTTCAAGGTTAATATCAGAAACCTGCCTATTTTCAGCTTCAAAATGAGTATAAATATTTCATGTTTTGAAAAAAAAATTTGAAAACTTTTTTTCGGAATTTTTCAAAATTTCCAAGAACATTTTTTTTTAATCAGATCATATTCATATTCATTTTGAAGCTCTTTTCAAGCCTAATCCAAATTTTTAGCCCCTGGAACTCGAATTCGTCTGTAATTCCTATCAAGAGTGTTCGGAGGAGAAAACGCAATTGGTTCAAATTTGTAACCAACAAAATCGCCAAAAATGGGACCAAAAATGTGTGCAAAAGATGAAAAACGATTTCGATGGAATTTCAAAATACGAGGAATTGATAAAAATGGAAACGAGGAGTTGCATAGATTTGGATTTGAAGGAGATGAATATTTCGTTTATTGGGAATAAGGATAAGGTAGGAATTTCAAAAAAAAATCGAACTTTCTTTTGAGTTTGGTTAGATTACTGTAGAATTTACGAATTGTTGGATTTTTATGAATTTTAAAATTTTTCAAAATGTTAATGTTTTCATTTTTTCAAAAATTTTCTATTTTCAGGAAGTTTTGATTCTCAGATTTTTAGATTTTTTGGATTTTTGATTATTTGAAATTTTAGAATTTTAGAATTTTTTTAGAATTTTTTGGATTTTCAAAATTTTCGAATTTTTCGGGATTACTGTAGAAATTGTATTGGTCACTCTATAAATGATGCAGAAAATTCAGGTTTAAAGATTTGAAATTTTAATGCTCCCTGGCTTACTGTAGCGCCATTTCTGTGCAAACACCAAATGAAACACCACACTTTACGACAAAATGCACAATTTTCAGATTTTAGCTCAAAAAAAACTTGTCTAGGGTAGAATTTCATGGAAAACACGAATTTGGCATTGAAAAAAAAAAATATTGACTTTTTAGAACCGCTTTTGCGCTAGCTATCTGTTCAATCTTCCGGACACCAATGGAGACTGTGCACTGCGAATCGCCAGAGCCCAAAATCGATGTGATGCGTTGAGAAGGTGTTGTGAGCCGGCGGTGAGGTCAGAATTTTAAAAACTTTCCTGCCTTTGCCCAAAAAAAACCGAATTTCGAAAAAAAAACATTTTAGGTCCCAAAAATTCTTTTTGATTTTTTTTACATTTTTTGGAAATTGAAAATTTTTTTGGACCCAAAAAACAATAATTTTTAGATGTGAGCAACAAACAATGTATAGTGAAAACGGTAGAACACTTAGCGGGCTTCAGGAAGAAGTGGAGATCAAAATGGCAGAGTGTGCGCAGCATGGTAAGGGACCTTAAGACTTTAATTTTTGCAAAATCTGGATTTTTATTAAGGATTTGAATTTAGCTTGTCAAGAGCTTTAAAATGAGTATAATCATGACTAGAATTGGCCGGCATTGAGAGATGGGGTTAGAGACGCAGTGTGTCTGGCTTCTCTGGATCTCGCGCCCAATTACAAAAAGAGGCTTGACTCCGCCAGTTTTTGCTCAATTTCGATGAAACTACCAGAAATAGAATGAGCAGGAGAAGAGCTTCAAAATGAGTATAAACCGACTAGGTTTTGAAAATTTCGATTTTTGGGTTTCAGCAGGAGAATAACTTATATTTTTGGAAAATGTTGAATTTGTCATAAGTTTCTTTGTTTTTGTCCTATCCTGAAAATAATTGTGGATTTGAACTAGGCTTACCAAGAGCTTCAAAGTGAATATAATCATGACTAGAATTGGTCAAAATTGAGAAATGGGGTTAGAGACGCAGTGTGTCTGGCTTCTCTGGCTCTCGCGCCTTTCGACGACGCATAACTCAGCTAGTTTTTTTTTTCAATTTGACTAAAAATATCGACTAGAATTGGCGTAAGAAGGGCTTTAAAATAAGCATTAATACGACTAGGTTTTCAAAATTTTCAAAAAAAAATTTCTTTGGGCCCCACCAAGAAAATCCAAAAAATCAAAATTAATCAAATATGGTCATGTTTAGGCTCATTTTGAAGCTCTTTTAAAGTTAAATCCATATTTTCGATTTTCAGAAGAAGAACTGCGCCCACATCCAGAACCTCAGCCTTCCAAAGTCGACAAATCTATCAAAAAGCAGCGAAAAATCAAAATCATCGAGTCTCCGCCGTTTTCGTTGTGCTTGAAATATTTGCAGTGTCAGAAGGATGCTCATCAGATGCGAGTGAATTGTTCGAAGGCTTCAAATGTGAGAATTTTTTCTGAAAAACTTTAAATATTAAAAAATGGTCATGAAACTTTTTTTAGCAATAGTTTTGAGATTTTAATCAAAAATTGAATTCAGCTCATCGAGAGCTTCAAAATGAGTATAATCATGCCTAGAATCGGTCTACATTGAGAAATAAGGTTAGAGACGCAGTGTGTCTGTTTTCTCTAACTCTTGCGCCTTTGAATGGCGCATTACTTGATCAGTTTTGACTCAATTCTTATGAAACAAACAGAATAATATTTGGCTTGACAAAAGCTTCAAAATGAATATAAACATGACTATGTTCCTTTAAATTTGAATTTTTCGAATGTTCGTGGTGGGACCCAAAAATTGAATATTTTGAAACCTAGGCATGTTTATACTCATTTTGAAGCTCTTACCAAGTCAAATCGATTTATCGCTTTTTCATCACAATTGAGCTAATACTGACTGAGTTACGTTCCTTTTAAAAGCTAGAGAGTCGGAGGAACCAGACACACTGCGTCTCTTACCTCATTATTCGATGTAGACCTATTGTAGTGTTTATACTAATTTTGAAGCTCTCAATCTCCTGAATCCTATAAACCTTTCAGCCCCACACCTTGGACGGCTTGGATTCAGATGACATCTCAGATTCCACGTGGCAGAACTGCAAGAAGTCTTTAGAAGAGGACTATTATTTGATGAATCAGCGGCGACAAGAAGCATTCGCCTATTTGGATAAATGTGTTCCAATTGCAAATGTGACAAGAGAATTCATGATAACTGATAGAATCTGTCGAGCAAGTACGCTGAAGGATAGGAAACCCAGAAAGGAGGCAATCAATTGTCATTTCGAAGTTTCCAGGAAACGAAAGGAATGCGCTTTGTTAAGAGATTGCTGTGTACAGGCGGATGTGTGAGTTTATCGGAAAATTTGAAAAAAAAAGCGTCAAAATGAGCTTTTTCGCTGCTGAAGGGCTTCTGAAGGGCATAACTTGGGCAAGCGTTGTCCAATTTTGATGAAATTAATAATTTTGAATTTGGCTCTTCCAGAGCTTCAAAATGATAATAAACATGACTACAATCGGTGTACATTGAGAAAAAAATGGGGCTAGAGACGCAGGGTCTCTCGCTTCTCTGACTCTCGCGCTATTTAACAAAAATGGGCGTAACTCAAAAAGTTTCTGCTCAATTCCAGCAAAAACAAAATGAATAGCTTTGAAATGAAAAGAGCTTCAAAATGAGTATAAACATGACTAGGTTTGCAGAAAAAAAAATTTTTTGGGTCCCACTATGAAAATCCTAAAAAGTCAAATTCGGTCAAATCTAGTCATGTTTAGGCCCATTTTGAAGCTCTAAACCAGGCAAGCACATAAAAATAGTTTCAGAAAAATTAGACTGCTTTCGAAGTGTTTTAGGGTCCCCAAATGATGAAGGGGATTTTTGGAGAATGTTGAATTGATCATAACTTTCTTATTTTTTGTCATCGTCTAATAATAATTAGAAATTTGAATTCAGCTCATTTAGTGCTTCAAAATGAGTATAATCATGAATAGAATTGGTTTACTTTGAAAAATAGGGTTAGAGACGCAGGGTGGTGTCTGGCTTCTCTGGCTCACGCGCCATTCGACAACGCGTAATTTGGCCAGTTGTCACCCAATTAAAAAAAATTTACAGATTCGAATTTGACTGAAAAAGAGCTTCAAAATGAGTATAAACATGACTAGGTTTGGAAAAAATAGTTTTTTGGGTCCCACAGCGAAAATTCGAAAAAAATTGAAATTTATCAAATCTAGTCGTGCTTAGGCTCATTTTGAAGCTTTAAACGCGGTTAACTCAGATTTTCAGTCTATTTTTCGATATTCTAAATTTTCAGATGTGAACGAAGCGCGTTATATGCTGTAATTTCCGACGAGTACCTCCTCAGACGGACCCAGCTTCGGGAGACTCTGGATTCCTGTATGAGCCAAGGCATCGATGGTGGCAATTTGGTTGTGTAGCCAAAATTCAAGCTCAAACTTTATTAAACATGTACATATTAATAAAAATTTAAAATTTTGAATTTTTTGAAAAATAAAATTTTTCAATTCAAAAAAAATTTTGGTCCATCACAATCGAGACTTCTTGGCATCTAAAAATGCTTTTTTCATGGTTCTCCTCAAAATTTTTCCGGTGCCAGTGCGCAGAATTTCGCCGACGAACTCGATTTCCTTGATGTGCTTGTAGCGAGCCAGTTTTTCTGGAAATTGGATAATTGGGGTAATTAAAACACCAAATTTTGCTTAACAAGCATTAGATATGAAATCTAGGTTTTGAGAGCTTCAAAATGAGTCTAAACATGACCAGAATTGATCAATTTTGAATTTTTAGGATTTTCGTGGTGGGACCCAAAAATTGAAAATTTTTCATAACCTAATCTTGTTTGTGCTCATTTTGAAGCTCTTTTCAAGACAAATTCAACAATATACCTTTCATAGAAATTGAGCAGAAACTAACAGAGTTACGTCGGTTCTAAAGGCTCGAGAGTCAGAGAAACCAGACACACTGCGTCTCTGACCCTATTTCTTAAAGTAGACCGATTCCAGTCATGATTAAACTCATTTTGAAGCTCTTGACCAGTGGAGTTCAAAAATGTTAGTTTCTACAAAATTGGACAATGGTTTCCTAAGTTATGCTCTTCAGAAACATGCATACCCATTTTGAAGCGTTTTTGAACTCACGATTAATATGCCTCATAATGGCTTTCATCGTTTCCAAATCCCTTTTTCCCTGTTTCGACACCACACACGCCACTGGTCTCTCCCCAGAATCCTTATCATCAACTCCAAAAACGCACACATCTGCCACGTCATCATGCTCCAGAATTACAGATTCCAATTCGGCTGGCGCCACTTGTTTCGCATTGACTTTGATGAGTTCCTTGATTCGATCACAAATAAATGTGTCGCCATTTTCATTAAAATACACAATATCCCCGGTTCTCATGAATCCATCTTCGTCTTTTAATTCCTGGGTGGCCGCCTCTTTTTTCCAGTACCCTTTCATCATTTGGGGACCCTAAAACGCTTCAAAATTGGTCTAATTTTTCTGAAACTATTTTTTATGTGTTTGACTGGTTTAGAGCTTCAAAATGAGCATAAACATGACTAGATTTGACCGATTTTGATTTTTTAGGATTTTCGTAGTGGGACCCAAAAATTAAGTTTTTTCCAAACCTAGTCATGTTTATACTCATTTTGAAGCTATTTTTGAGTTGAACTCAAATCTGTAAAGTTTTTCGAAATTAGGCAAAAATTGACTGAGTTTATGCCCCTTTTTGTAAAAAAGGCTCGAGAGTCAGAGAAGCGAGAGACGCTGCCTCTCTAGCCTCCATTTTTCAATGTGGACCCGGATCTTGTTATGTTTATACTCATTTCAAAGCTCTGAAAGAGCCAAATTCAAAATTATTGATTTCATCGAAATTGGACCACCTTTGCCCAAGTTATGCCCATTAGAAGAAAATAATTCTTACAAATTTTAAAACTGATCAAAAACTGAGAAGATGAGACTTTTAGCAGTTTCTAATCTCAAATCCGAATTTCTCATATTTCGAGCTTCAAAAAGAGTATAAACACGCCTAACTTTCAGAAACCTCAATTTTTGGGGTCCCACCACGAAAACTTGAAAAATCTGGATTTTCCCTATTACGGTAGGAATGCATTATACACTATATACTCTTGAAAATTCAATTTCTTCTGGTTTTAAGCTTCAAAATGAGTATAAACACAACCATATTTTGAAAAAAAATGTTTGGGCGATTTTCGTGATGGGACCCAAAAAAAATTTTTATTCCAAGCCTAGTCATGTTTATACTCATTTTGAAGCCCGTGACAAGCCAAATCTTTGTGTAAAATTTTCAACAGAATTAGGCTCAAACTAGCTGAGTTACGCGTCGTTGAATAGTGCGAGAGTCAGAGAAACCAGACACACTGCGTCTCTAGCCTGCATTTTCAATCTTGATCAATTCTATTCATGTTTAAAATCATTTTGAAGCTTTTCACGAGCAAAATTCAGAAATAATAGTTGCATGAAAATTGGGCAACAATTGGCCAATTTATGTCCTTTGGAAGTCCCTCAAAACTCATTTTTTTTTCAGATTTTTCTCTGACTCTTTCCCTCACCTTAATCCACAACTCCCCCACTTCATGTGGCCCACACAGGGTCCCATCCTCCTTCTTAACCTTCATACTGGTCCCTGGAACAGGTCTTCCAACACTTCCATCAGCGCAGTCGGGACTTTGCATATGGGTGGCAAATGAGAATTCTGTCATACCGTAACCCTGAACGATGCGGAGGTCCGGAATCAGTTTTTTGAGTTTTTGAAGTGCTCCATCGGGCAAAGGGGCGGAGCCAACCGATATGGTACCAAGGGAACTGAGGTCATAGTTTTTGAGAAGGGGGAAGTTGACCATTCGGACGATAATGGCTGGAACTGCTGCTAGAATTGCGATGGAATATTTTTCGACGGATTTTAACATTAATTCCATATCGAATTTGGTGAAAAGGATCTGATTGGAGCCTCGGTAGGAGGTTAGAAGAGCTCGGAAGAGTCCCATTACATGGTAAAGGGGAAGGAAATGGAGCTCATGGGGGAAGATGAAATCGGGAGGGAGACCATAGGACTTGGCAATGGCGTCGTGGAATCTGGAAAGGTTCTGGAGAATTCTGGAGTTTCCGGATTTTTTGATTTTTTGAAATTTCGAAAATTTCAAAAAATTTCCAGTAGTTATTCGATTTTCTGAAGCGTTTTCTCATATCAAAAAGTTTCGAACGTTCGAAGTTTTCGAAATTTTCAAAAATTCCAAAGTTTAAAAAAAATTCTGAAAATTCGAATTCCCAAAATTTCAAAAAATCCTGGAAATCCTAAATTCTGATTTTCCTTTTTCAGAAATTTCAAAAACTTGAGAATTGATATTCTGGAGATTTCAGAATTGAAAAAGCCTGAAAATGCATAACGTCGGAAATACCGTATAACCTGTATTATAAGGGCCGACACTTCTATTTTTCCCTTCTATTACAGGGGTCCTTCAATTAGAGGGAGTCCTTCTAATACAGGTCTTACGGTATCTGACTTTCAAAAAATTTCAAAAAACTCCAAAATTATTCCGAAATTCAAAAAATTCTTAAATTTTAAAATCTTCGAAAATCTGAAATTTTAAAAATTACCAATTTTTCTCAAATTTTAGAAAACTCTGAAAATTTCAAAAATAGACTTTTTAGAAAACTGAAAATTTTTCGAATTTTTCGAAAATGTCAAATTTTCAAAAAATGAAACTTGTGTTGTTTGTAGTTTGTAATTTGTAGTTCTTAATTTGAAAATCAGTCAATTCCAAAATTTTGAAAATTTCCAAAAATTCTAAAATCCAAAAAAATCCAAAAAAATTTAAAATTTCGAAAATCTCCAAATTTTAAGAAACTCAAAGTTTTTTTTGAATTAGTGTAGTTTGTAGTTTGCAGTCCCTTCTCTTACTGTATACACGAAACCATCATCATTGAAACATTCAAATGAGTAATCATTACTCCTTTTGGCTTCCCAGTGGTCCCTGAGGAGTACGGTAGAAGAACCAAATCGTTCATTGGATCGATTTTCGGCATTTTCAAGTTTCGAATCAATCTAGAAGTCAAAACTTCGAATTCAATCACTGGTTTCGGAGAATTCGGGGCAATCGAAACTACATTTTTCACGAATTTCAAATTTTTGGAAGCTTCCAAAACGACTGGAAGTGTTTGAGCATCAGCAAGAATCAGTTGAGAGTGAGAGTCCTCGATTTGGTAGTTCATTTCGTCTGAAAAAAAAAGAAATTTCGAAAAAAATTTTTTTTTTTGAAAAATCGGAGAGCCCTAATTTTTGATGTTCTCCAATAGTCTGAAATGGAAATTTTGAATTTCCAGCCAAATTATGGCCTTAATTCTGAAAAAAGAAAAAAAAATTTTTCAAAAAATTTCAGATTGTCTGAAATTTGCAGACTTACACGCTGTGAATTGACTGGAAGCCGCTGAAACCACCAGTCCGGCTCTCCAGGCTCCCATACAAAACGCGAAACATCTCCAGTTGTTGTGAGCAGCCAACAGTACAACGTCTCCCTGAAAAACACACTGAGACTACAAACTACAAAAACTACAAATGTTTTTTTCCAAAAATTTCAAAGTTTTTTTTCAATTTTCATTATCCCCAGGTTTCGAAATTTCCTACCTTTTTATATCCATTCTCCAGGAACCACTCGGAAATTTGAATAATTTTTTTTTTCAAATTTTTATAGGAAATCGAATCTTGCTCATTTTCGGCAGTAGTGAATGCTAAACAATTCGGGTCATTCTTTTCATGCCTCTCAAATCGATCCATCAAAAAATCATGGACCGGTGTGTCGTGATGCTCCAACTTCTCCCCATGGAAAATCATTGTTTTTCTGAAATTTCTGCTCATTTCCAAGAGTTTTAATGCAAAAATTCGAATTTCCCGCAAAATTCTACCCCCGGGAACTTTTTTCCAGGAGTCAAAACTCAACAATTCGAATTTTCTGCAATTTGTCGTAAGATTCGGTGTTTTGTTTAGCGTTTGCATACGAATCGAGCTACAGTAATCCTGACACTTCTTGAGGAACCGAAAATAGCCTACCTGCAGTGTGTGGGTTACAGTGGGCCCCGTTTCTGTGTGAATAGCAACCAATGCATCAGACCTGACGACAAATTGCAGAAAATTCCGAAATTTTGAATTTTAAAGCTGCGAAAAGGCGCTTCAGGAGTATAAACTGACGAAAAACTCGAATTTAAACTTATTTCAACCGAAAAATCGGAATTTAGTTTTTAAATTTCGATTTGTATATTTTTCATGCATCGAATTTTACGACAAATTGCAGAAATTTCCTAAAAAATCAATTTTTCGCTCAATTCAGTTATAAAACCTCCGATTTTATGCCATTTTTCTTTTCTCGCCGCGAAATTCGACGAATGCTGTATTTTGTCGTCAAATCCAGTGCACTCGGTGTTTGCACAAAAACCAAGCTACCGTATCCCAAAAAATGTGTAAACCAATGGGGGAAAAAAGGTTTCAGGGGTAGTTTTGGCCGCGGAATTCGAATTTTTGGTTAGTTTTTAGATGGGAAATCCGAAAAAGGAAGAAATTTCAAATTTTTGAATCAAAAAAGAATTTTTTCGAAAATTTTTTTTTTCGTTTAGCCACAATTGAATTTAAAAAAAACTGATAAAAAGAAAATAAAAAAGCAAGACCAAATTTGGAAATTTTTTGTGTTATCGGTTGATCAGTGTCTTATCGATAAGAGATTGCGCGGCGGTGAAGTGCTGGGGAGAACAGTGTAGCCGTCGCCGCGTCGACCACGGCGTGGTCAGTGAATCATGATCAAAAGTCAAGCAAATTTTTGTTATCATTCTTTTTTTATTATTCTAGCACAAAACCTACAAAAAATTGGAAAAATTGAAAATTCATAAAAAATTTTTTTTTGACATTTTTGAAAAATTTTTTTTTCAAAAATTCAAAAAAAAATACAAAATTGAGCATAGAATACAAAAATGAGAAAAATTATGTTAATATAACAGAAGACGAACCTGAAAATTGAAATTTTTCAAAATTTCAAAAAAAAAAATTTTCAATTTTTTTAAAAAATCAATAAAATTATCCCCAGACATCCTCAATGTACTGATCCGTTTTCTTGAGATCCATCAGCTTCTTCTTGGCGTCCAAATCGGCGATTTCTGGAAAAAAAAACGTTTAGTGGCCTAGTTTTTCGAATTTCTAGGCCATCAAGATGAAAATTAGTCCATGCGATCTAGATATTCTGATCCAGCGTCGAAAGAGCTTCAAAATGAGTATACTCATCGCTATCTTTGGAAAAAAAATTTTTTTCAAAAAAAACTACAGTAACCCAAAAAAAATTTTTTTCTCTCAAACCTAGACATGTTCATACTCATTTTGAAGCTCTGAACTTCCCAAATTCAAATTAGGCGCCTAAAACCCGCCTACCTCGATCGCCTGCAACAATATCAGCGAAACACTGCCAAACGTCTTTCGACATGCCCTTCGCGTCGCCACAAATGAAAATTTTCGCGTTTTCCGACGGCTCGAGGAATGGCCGAACTTTTTCCAGGTGTTTTCTTAGGCCATCCTGTACTCGTTCGCCTTTCTGCTCACTCTCACAGACGATGAGGTCGCTGAGAATGCCTTCGGCCAGGAATTGCTCCAATTCGTTCCTGAAATATCGATTTTTCGGTGCTAATATCGATTTTCACAGTTACATTGACTCAAAAATCGATTTTTCTGCTAAAACTATCCCTAAGGCCAAAAACTACTACTGTAGCGCCGATTCTGTGCAAACGCCGAATTTTACGACAAAATGCAGAAATTTGAGTTTTTTTTTCGAAAAAAAACTGTCTAGGCGTAGAAAGTGCCGAAAAATCGATTTTTGCATGCAAATTTTGCAAAAATCGCTTGCAAAAAAATTTCGAAAAAAAAATTTTTTTGGAATTTTTTTTCAATTTTTAGGCTTTGAAATGTTGAAATTTCGGTGGAAACTTCAATTTCCACAGTAAAATTGACTCAAAAAACGATTTTCCCGCTAAAAACTATCCCTAGGGTCAAAAACTACTACTGTAGCGTCGATGCTGTGCATACACCGATCCATGCACCGAATTTTACGACAAATTGCAGAAATTTGGAATTTTTCCGGAAAAAAGCTGTCTAGGGGTGAAAAATGCCGAAAAACTTGTTTTTATCATCAATTTTAGGCATAAACCCTTTTTCTAGGCTACTAAATACTTTTTTTTTGCAAAATCCGCAATTTGTCGTCGGATTCGGTGTATCTTGGTGTTACCGTAATTTGTAATTTGTTTATTGACAAAAACCGTAATCCACTCACATATAAATCGAATCCACCGTAGCATCACGGCATCCGAAGAATAGAATACGTGGCACGTCTTCTTTGAAGTCCGCCGGCGAGTCGATTTTGAGTTTTCTGGAAATTTTTGGCTCAAAATCAATAAAAATACGCAAAAATGATAGAAAATTCGAGTTTTCCATGTATTCTTATCTTAAAATCAACTTTTTCCGGCAAAAATTCGAAAATCCTGCATTTTGTCGTAAAGTCCGGTACATCGGGTGGTGTTTGCAGAAAGTTGGCGCTACCGTAACTCAAAAAGCGCGAAAAAGTTTTTTTTTGTAAAAAACATTTAAGCGTGTATATTGGGTTACGTTAGGTAGCGAAAATCCACAAATGCACCAGACCTTACGACAAAATGCAGAATTTTGCGAATTTTGAGATTTCGACTCAAAAAAATCGATTCTAGGGTAGAAAATCATGGGCAACGCGATTTTCGCATAGAGAACTCAAAAAATTAAACATGCGCACCTCAAAAAGTGCAAAAACGACAAGAACACAGAGACACCCGTTCCAGGTCCAATCATGAGCAGCGACAGGGCTCCAGCGCTATTTTTGGGCATTCCAAGTGGCGGAAGACGGAAACGGGCGGGCTCTTTTCCCAGAACTTCTACAGTATCCCCGATTTTCAGCGAATTCAGCCAGTCGGTGGCCAGTCCCTTTCTTGGGTGACGTCGGCCGTCGGTTGCCGAGAACTCCATTTCCGAGTAGATCAAACGAGCGCGGCGGTTCTCGTATGATGACATACTGTAGGGGCGGGGGATGAGCCGCGGGAGGAGTTCTGGAAAACACTTTTTTTTGAAGTCGAAAAAAACTTTTTGGCTGAAAATTTTTTTTCAAATTTTCGGCTTTTGCATCCATTTTCAGTTGTTCTCTTGTCGAAATTCTTGATTTTCGGCATTTTTTACCCCTAGAAGCCTTTTTCCCGCATTTGAAACTCTAAAATTCGAAAATTCTGCATTTTGTCGTAAGATCTGATGTATTGGCTAGTGTTTGCACAGAAACCAGGCTACAGTAATCCAAGAAGCCCTGAACTTGAGAAAGAGGCTTTGGATTACTGTAGCCTGGTTTCTGTGCAAACACTAGCCAATACATCAGATCTTACGACAAAATGCAGAATTTTCGAATTTTAGAGTTTCAAATGCGGGAAAAAGGCTTCTAGGGGTAAAAAATGCCGAAAATCAAGAATTTCGACAAGAGAACAACTGAAAATGGATGCAATTCCACCACA